CGTTTGGGAAGATGAGGAATTGAGTTGAAGGTGGTTTTGGCAACCAACCCTCTGTACAGAAATGATTGTTCAGTCTGTTGCTCTGTCTCTGTCTGTCTCTCTGTGTCTGTCTCTCTCAGTGCTGGGGATTACACCCAGGGCCTCACACATGCCAGGTAAGTGCTCTACCATACTTTTTTATTTTTTATTTTGAGGGGAGTCTCCTCAATTGTCCTTGCTGACCTTGAACCTGCAGCCTTCTGTGCAGCTGGGATTTTAGGCGTGTACCACCACACTAGCCAAATCCTGCCTCTGCTTTTCCGCAGCACTTGACTTTGACTCTCTTGAAGCCTCAGTTTCTTATCTTGGAGTCCAGGGGAGGCCTCTTCTGTTGGCTTCAGGCCAGCCTCTCCCATGGGAAAAGTTGCTGCTCTGGGTGGACCCTGACCGAGGCCACCGAGCTCCTGCTCATGTTTTTAAGCATTTCCAGGCGTGTAGGGTCCAGTTTGCCCGAGGTACATGCTTGCTGATTAGAGCCCGACATATGCTGAACTAAGCAAGGTGGCTGTAACTGGCTGTAACCGGAATGCTTGGTTGAGGTCAGGCTCTTGGCAATTCCCCTTTGAACTCTGGCAGGCAGTGCTGTTGCTAAGCCAGTTCTGTTTTAAGAAAATTAGAGTCAGTGTGAACTAGTTATGCAAGACTACCTGCTTTAGGAAAAAAAGCTCACTCCAATTTATCATCACTTCTCTGTTTCAAAACCACGTAGCTGTGGTATGAATGTCCGACTTTGTATTGCATTGAATAAAAATGTCATAAAAGTGGAGTGTCAATTTATGGATGGTTCTTGGCTGCTGTCTGAGAATGCACGGAATGGAGAATTGTGCATGCGTGAAATAGTTTACTGCTATGAAGTTGGTAGTCTCTGCAGATCTGTGGTCTAGGACTTGGTGCACCTGCTACCAATCTTTACAGCTCAGGTAACTGAGTGGCACTATATAATAAATCTGCGGTGGATTAGGCTCTCTCTATAATCCTTTCCAGCACAGGTCCTGGTGCTGTAGAAGAAACTTGGGGTGTAGGAGGGGGAATAGGGGACCCCCATGGTGAGGGGAGGAGCCTCCTGCCTCAGGATCCTGGGCACGGAGCAGGGGACCATCAGCTCTGCCAGCCGCCCGCGAGGCCGCTCCTGTGCTGGCCTGTCTCATGCTCCCAGGATCCACGGAGGACACACCGGAGGAAGGTGAAAGCGAGAGATACCTCAGCCAAGCCCGAGAAGGAGGAGCGAGCCACTGAGCAGAGCAGTCGCTGAAGCTGGGTGCTGCAAACGGCGCAATCTGCCGCTCCCGTTTGTTGATCTCGCATGCCATCCTGCAGTTGGCACTGCCGCTGCCAGGAACCACCCCCTCCTTTTCCTGTCTGAAAGCAGGGGAAGAGATACTGTGTCAGCGTTAATCCTGCCGGTTCCACAACCTGGATTTCCTTCTTCCCTGTGTAAGGCCATAGTGGGCCCCACAGAGATATTAGAATCGGGGAATTTCAGAAGCGAGTGGAAAGAGGCTGGGGGAATTTTTAGAAATAGAAAAAGCAACACTTAGTCTTCCCGGGTTCGTCCGTAGGTGTCAGTGGGGGTGGAGGTCGTTTTGAAGAATGGAGATCACAGAAAACCTGCTTTGACGTCAGGCCAGGGCCTGCCTGGTCCAGGCACTTGTGGCAGCTCTGCGGTGATACACAGAGGTGGGGCAGCCTGTTGGGTTAGACTGTGTGAGAATCAAGCACAGGTGGGTGAGGTGAAGCAGGCAGCATCCTTCAGAATAAGGTAGCGACAGGGTAGAGGCGAGTGAATTACTACCATTAATGACTTAGCAAACAGAAACGACTGTTAAATTCCTTAAGAAGATACTAAAATCACTCAAGTCTTTTGCCTTGTTTAATGTGCTTTTGTGGAAACGGAAGAACACAGTGAAATCCAAAAATTGTTAACAGATTGCTGCCGGGGGCGAAGGAGAAGGTGTCCTTGTTGTAAGAGTCATGGATAGCTTCTGCAGAGGACAAAGTGAAGTTACTTTTCACGAGCTATTGTGCATATGGCCTTGCCCTGTGTACATCATAAGTTGTGTGTGCCCAAAGTTGCTGCCACTACTATTACGATTTTCAGAAGTGATACTCGGACAGTCTAATCAGAAAACATAAAAAATGCCACAGGAATTTTACTCACATCCTCAGCTTAGAAAATACGAAACAGAATTTTTGCATTGAGGTTCTTAATTCTTGGAAACCCCCTCTGTCCTGGGCAGAAAGCTGACTTGCCGCTTTTCGCTTGGGTCTGGCTCTGCCCTCCCTCTGGAGTCCAGAGCCAGGCCTCTGCTGTTGGCATGACTTGAAGCAATCCTGGGTTTTATGTGAAGGGGCATTCAAGTAATACAATCATGCTATGTGAGTTTGCCTTAGAGTAAAGCCTATGGGCTCCAGCTTCTTTGGGGGAACACTCAGGTGATCAGAGAATGACAAGGTGACCCCAGGCTCCTTTGAAAGACTCCTCCCCACCAGCCCCCTCTCTTCCTCCCCTGCGTTTTCAGGGTTGAACTCATTTGTTTGCAGTAACCCTGCTACCGCCCAGCCCAGCATGCCCTGCACGATCTCTTTTCTGCCCCCTTTTAGACTGCTGGATGTGCACCCCCGTTCAGCGCTGGTAGCTAACATTTTATTGCTAGTATGTGAAAAGCGCTCAGAGCAGTGCCTGGATCATTATTCATACAACTCGTGCTTTGCCTGTTTTATCTCATTTAATCTCACAATGAAATATTTCCCCCATTTTGCAAATGAATCAGTAGTGACCCAAGGAGGCTAAATCCCCCTCTGAACCCAGACTGCCTGGCTCAGAGCTGGAATTCCTAATCTCCACTGTTTAGCCCTTGCTTGGCCCTTTTAGTCTTGCTGTTTCCCCGCAAAGATCAGTTAGCCTTTCTTCTCAAGTAGGTTATAAACTCTGCACTGAGCTCTGCACATACTTGTATGTGGGTGTACTCCCCCAGTTCCCCTACCCAGCCAAGCATTATCTAAGGACTGACACTCTCTCGCCTGGGGTGGGGAGAGGAGTAACAGCTCCTAATTGGACGATGGCTGTGATTGGCTGAATGCTGGGGTGGAGCGAGGAGTAGAATATCCTAATTGGACAATGACTGTGATTGGCTGACTGCTCTGAGTTGCAGTGTTTCGGAAAATAAATGCTGCCCTGGACCAGCTCCAGTTCTTGTGATAGTGTTAGACTCTGTCTTGTCTTAATGTTGGCAAATGACTCCCAGCTGTACAAGCAGCAGCCTCGCGGCTTCTCTGCCAAAATGTCAGGGGAGACTTTTTTTTTCTCTTCAGAGAGCAAGAGCGAGTTGGGATTGGCTGAGTAGTTCTAGGCAAAAGAAAAAGTTGTCCTTTGTCCTTAATCCTCAACTGTCTTTGCCACACCCAGGGCAGGCTGGGGCTCTGGGATCCCACTTGGTCCTGCAGCTTCTCCAGGAAAACAGGCCCAGTCCTTTGCCGCTGTCTCTTTTCCTTGGGGCTCCTGATAACTATTCCTCTGATACACAGAGTTAGAGTTATGGGCATTGCTTCTGGTGGCGTATTTGTATTTTAAAAGATAATTCTCTCACTTTTCTGCGGGTCAGGAAGGCAAAAGAGATAACTATTAAAAACGTTCCCGAGGGATGCAGGGCAGAGATACAGACAAAATTCCAGTCGGGGTAATTGTGGTTCAAATCCTGCTCCACCCCTCCCCACAGGCCACGTGACTGGGACAGCTTTTCTGGGGCATAGTTTCTTGTCTGGAAAAGGATATGGTATGGTGCCTGGCACAATAAATATTGGCAGCCTGACCCGTTGTAGCCCTCAGTGAAATATTCCTTTTATACCTCCCCCCAGGAGACCGCCATAGTCATCTTAACTTCTGTCTGCACTTCTGGCAAATTAAGAACATAATTCTTTCTGTATCTTTCATTTTAAAATGTTCTCATCCTGAGGGTTTTAAAAACATTTTTTTATTGTGAAATGTACCTTATATCCAAATAAATGCACAAAGCACATACATACAATTTAGCAGGTAGTTATAAAGTGTCACTCAAGTGACCATCAGCCAGGTCAAGAACTGGCAGGCACTGCTTTAATGCAGTAACTCGGTGGTTCTCAACTGGAAGCCACGTTGCCCCAGAAGACATTTAAACGTTTTGGGGGTTACATGTGGAAAGTGCTACAGGCATCTAAGAGGCAGGGGCCAGGGGTGCACAAGACAGCCCCACCCAAACAATTACAGCATCTGGCTGCAAAGGTCAATAATGGCAAAATTAAGAAACCCTGCTGAGCTGGGCACAATGGCCCACTTCTGGGATCCCAGCTTTCAGGGAGACTGAAGCAGGAGGATCACAAATTCAATCCCAGCCTGTACAGTTTAGCAACTTAGACCCTTGTCTCAAATTTTTAAAAAATGTTTTAAATAAAAATAAGCAGAGGCTGGGGATGGAGCTCAGTGTGCAGGCCCTGGGTTTAACCTCCAGTGCAAAACAAAACACACGTATACCTGAGATCCCGCTGCAGCACAATCCACTATGGAGAAAAGCCTGCATTTTAGAAATAGTGCTTCATCAGGAGATGAATTTTGAGTAAAATGCAGTTGCTGGAGAAACCTGTTAGTGTCAGAACTTAGATTTACGTGACACATTTTCCCATTCCACTAACTGTTCTCTAGGAGAGGAAAGAAAGGCCGCCCGGAGTTTCAGATGAGGGCTCTGAAGTTAATAGGCCGTGCTGATCACATCCATCAGCCTCCTTGTCTGTCACTGCCGACAAGGGCTTTTAATCTCCGCCATCCGTTTACACGCATCTTGGGATTCAGATACTGTGTGAGTCAGTGGAAGCCAGACGCATTCATCTCACTATTAATTAACTTGTGAATAAATTAAATCCGCGAGCATCCTTTCCAACAATGCGTTCCCATCCCTCAGCTCTCCTGACTTCCTTGTTATCTGTTGCAGGACTTAGTTGTTCGGACTGTTTTCATCCTTGGCAACCTGACAGCAAAAAACAACCAGGCTCGGGAACGCTTTTCCAGAGAGAAAGCCAGCATTGGGACCCTGCTGTCCTTATTTCAAATCTACCAGCAGCCGGGCTTGCCCTCCCCCGGGCCCCAGCAGCCCACCGCTGGGCTCAGGCTGCCGCCGGAGGCCGAGGATGTGCTCGTCAAGGTGACCCGTGTGCTGGCCAACATAGCCATCCACCCGCGCGTGGGCTCTGCGCTGGCCGCTGACCGGCACGTCGTGGGCCTGCTGCTGACCACGCTGGGTGAGAGGTCATGGGGACCCCTCGGGGCTGGGGGATTGCTGAGGGGCTGGCTGGGCTCTACGGCACCTTGAAACTCTGCGAGGAAAATGCCTCTTCCCTTCACAATGGCCTAAAATGTATTCCAAGTTTGAAAGAGGAAAGAAAAACCATGGCTAACCTGCCCCCCTTAAGTTATAATTAAAAATATAAAATACAGAAGAAGAAGCCAAGTGGTGTAGGCTTATGCATGTGTTCCCAGTATTTGAGAGGCTGAGGCAGGAGGATAGGGCCAAGGCCAGCCTGGGCTGTAGTGAGACCTTGTCTCAAAAACCAAAAAGAAATAAATAAGAGACATTTTGTTACTTACATCCATTGATTATATTTTAAGTGTAACCCAAGACAACAACTGTCCACTCAGAAAAAAAAAAAAAGGCAGGCTTCAGGTTGGACACAACTGATTATAGATTGTTACTAAAACCCACTTAAGTGTATACTTTAATAAATTTTATTAAATTTATTAATTTTATTTTATTGATGAATTTTTTTTATATTCACAACTTTAAAACAGTTATACCAGTCAGATGACCAAAACCTGGCTAAGAGAATCACAAAGAATTTAACATCCCAGTTTTTTGCTGAGACAGTCCACAGGACTCAAGTTCAATTCTCTTTTCTTCTTTCTGGTCTTACGTCACCTGTAATCACGTCACCCAGTCCTTTGGCTTGCATCTCCCCTCTCCTAGCTCAGGCTGCCACCACCCAGTGTGATAGCCTATGGGACTTAACACAGTGCCACAGATTCACAGCTTCACAGAAACGCTTTCCTCACTCTCCGCAGGCTGGAGGGCTCTTCCTTGTGGCCTGCACACAGTGTCCTCTCACCGCGTGTCCACGGGGCTTCCTTTGGTGGGAGCCCTTGGGGTGTGTGTGCGTGTGTGTGTGTGTGTGTGTGTGTGTGTGGAGAGCAGTGTGCTCTCCTGCCAGCTCACCAGTCCTCGGGACATGACTCTTATGACCCCATTTAATCTTATTAATCCTAGAAGACGCATCAACATAGAAATTGTACAGGAACACAGTTCAGTCTTCATCACCCCTGTTCCCCACCAGTACTAAGGATTAAACTCCCCGGAGCTTTTAAAAATTTTTGTATCTTGAGACAGCTCTCACTAAGTCTCTAATTTGTCCAAGCTGGGCTCCCTCTTGCAGTCCTCCTGCCTCAGCCTCCCCAGAGTGCTGGGGTTGCAGGTGTGCACCATCAATCACATCCAGCCAATCAAGAGATTCTGCCTGCTGGTGTGAGAAAAATTAACTGCAATCCAAAACAATCAGTTTAACCGCTAATAACAAAAGTTGTAGCAGACTTTGTTGCTGTTGGAGAAAGTTTAATGCCTAAGTAAAATTATGTTTTTGTGAACTCTGGCTCCCCCAACTATTCCCTTTAAGAACCATTGTTTTGAGTCCCTGAAGCAGGGTGATCAGTCCTCTGCTATGTAGTGCTGCTTTGTTTCGCTCTGCTTAGGCTGCTGTGACAAAGTGCAGGGTAGTTTAAAGCACAGAAATTTATTCTCTCTCTGTTTTAGAGACCTGAAATCCAAGATCAAGTTGGCAGCGGGGTCGGTGTGTGGGCCGAGCTCCTCTCCTGGTGTGTGCAGGGCCATCCTCTCGAGGAGCCCTCACGGGGTGAAGGAGAGCACAGGCTGATACCTCTTCCTCCTCTTACAGGGCATCAGCTATCGGATTTTATGGCCTCGTTTAACCTCCTCACAGAATCTGCCTCCAAATATAGTTTCTTTGGATGTTAGGCTTTGAGGTGTGGAGGTGAGGCGGGGCACAGATACTCAGTCTGTAACAGGTTTGTAAACCATAGGCTGTGGTCTGCTCTCAAAGAACTTAGCCTCTGTCTAGAGCACTGGCAGGTGTGCAGGCAGGAACCACCACTCATGAAAGGTGCCAGGAGCAAGGCACAGAGGGGCACGGGGCTGATGGATCAGAGCCACAGAACAGCATGGTGTGTGCCTCAGGCTCTGTGCAAGTGACAGTGCCATACATTCTTATGAACCTTTACTGTTTAAAACTCTTCTTGATCGCTAATGCCTCCCAACTGTGTGAGGGTGAGGGTGAGTTTTTGTTGTTGCGGTCAGATGAGGAAATGAGCTCCGTGAGCTCCGTGACTTTATGGGTCACAAGGTGATAAGTCGTGGCGTCCCAAATGTCGCCTGTCTGGGGAAAGGATTTATCTCCATGGCTTATCACTTCTGCATAATAACCCCCAAATCTACCTAGTCTTGAATTCTCTTTGAGGCTGCTAGCTGCACGTAAGGCATTTGGTAGAATATGCATTCAGCTGTTAGAGAAATCTGTTACAGCCACAAGCTTTTCAGCCTGTGCTTGAGCTGAGTCCCTGTCTGCTGACATTCCGTCCCCTTCTGGTAGACCCTCTGGGTGGTGCTTCTCAGCCCAAGGCGAGCGATGGAAGCCTTCTGAATCTAGCCAAGCCTACTGCTAGCTTCTGGTGATATCAGGGAAACAGTCACTCAATTATGGAAGCCAGGAACTAGGGACCATCGCCTCCCTCACCCCCCATCCAGTCTTCAGCAGGTACGTTCTGTCCACTCTGCTCCTTCTCTATGGCCACCCATACCTAAGCAGTATCATTATTTGTAATCCTGCTGGAGGCTCCTAACGAGTGTCTGCCTCTGCCCCTCTCTGCATTCTGGCCAGACTTGAGGTCCAGTGGGAGCAGAGCAAAATCACTAGAGGTCTTGTGTGCTAAGCAGTAGAGGTCCACTCCTGTGCTAGTTCAGTCTTTCATTAATCAGCTGTTTGTTGCACACGCGCCATGGGCCAGGCATTGTTCTAGGAGCCAAGAATGCACCAATGAACGAAGCAGACAAACCCTTAATTCTCATGGTGCTAACACTTCAGGGCCGGAAGATAAGTGTTAACCATGCATCACATCAGTTGGTAACCTGTACCGTGGAGAAATTAAAGTGGATCAGGGTTGGAAAGAGGAACAGATATCCTTTTATATAAAGGTTGCGAAACCCGTGTCCGGGAAGGTGGCATGTAGCAACTGTCGAAGGGGACGGGCCACGTGGCTCCTAGAGAAGAGTGTCTTGCAGACAGAGCGGACCGCAGTGCATAGATTCTCAGGCCCACAGAGCAAGGGACAGGTGGTCCAGGGGCTACTGGGGACGTCAGGACAGGGTAGCCAAGAAGAGCCCGTGGGCTGTGTGAGGTGGAGCCATCCTAGGGGTGTGAGGTGACTGGCGTTTATTTAAAGGTCACCGTATTAAGAATCAATTTATTGAGGCAACCATAGGCGAATGGAAGCCAGTGGTTCTGGGTGACTGTGGGGAGCACCCTTCGGGAGGGCAATGCATTCCCCCCAGAGGAGCCCCTGGCAGAGCTTGAGGCCAGGGACACTGGTGGCATCAGCCTGTTCTGCTCACGCAGCGCGGGCCCCTGTGCTTTTCCTCAAACACAGGCCCAGACTGACCTGACTCTCCTGGATCTGCAGTCATGGGGCCTGAGTGGTGTGCTGCCCGCCCTGCTGGGAGGGCCACCTCAGCTTTGGTGTTTTCCCTGCAGGATGTCATGGGGAAGTGAGGAGCAAACAGGACGTCCAGTGCCCTTGCACGTCCCCGGCTGGGGACAGTCACAGCTTGTCCCTGGCACCGTTGCTGTGGCTGCTGCACTCACAGGGTCATCGCTTCTCCCCTCGGTGCCTCTCTGACGCTCTCCTCCTCGTTTCGTTCCAGAATCCAAGTCACTTGATGACTGTGAGGAGCTGGTGATAAATACAACAGCAGCGATCAACAATTTGTCTTTCTACCAAGTGAAGAATTCCATCATCCAAGACAGAAAGCTGTACATTGCTGAATGTAAGGGTTTGATCTGATTAAATACAGAAGGACAGGCATCCCTGGTTTTTGACCTCTGCCACAAATATCTCAGAGCACGATCTGATTTTAAGAAATTAGAAAATGGGGGCCATCAGTGTATTAGTTCTTTTATTATCATTTAGTTCGTACAAATTTATTTTTGCAGTGTGAGGGATTTGAGCCCAGCTCCTCCCTCTTGCTAACTAGGCTAGTGCTGTGCCGTTGAGCTGCATCCCCAGCTAAATTTTAAATCTTTATCAGCATTTAACATGAGATTGGTTTGGCTTTAACTTAAAACCCAACCGATTTTATTTTGCTTGTTATCAACTCTAGTGCTCTTAAAACTTCTTGTAAGCAAAAACATGGATGGAATCCTAGAGGCTGTGCGTGTTTTTGGGAATCTCTCCCAGGACCATGACATCTGCGATTTCATTGTGCAGAAAAATGGTGAGTTAACAACACTGAAATTTATAAACACACACTTCTTGCCAGCAGTCAGCCGAGTGGTTCCAGAGCTGAGAGACGATAACATGATACTTGTTTGTGCTTTGGGAGAGGTGGCACCCTGCATTCGTCCTGAAGGGGAGGTTCTCAGCTCAGGTTGCTGAGATGGACCTACCCACTGAGGACACTTAACTCGTCTCCCTCACCAAGGCCCACTGAGTACCGGGGGAGATGGACTGTTTAATGAAGACCAACGTAGCATTTCTGCCTTGGGAATGGAATCGAGAAATGTTCCCCTTCGTGTGCTAGAGTGTCTATTTCATTTTGCAAATTGCATAATTGCAAAAAGTAGAAACAACCTAAATGTCTGTCACCAGCCAAGGAATAGCTGCATAAATATGTATACCGTGCACCAAAACATTCTACAGCAGTGGTAGTGAACCTGTGGCATGTGTGTTATTGAGTTTTCCTTTTAAAACAAGGGATGTTAATGCATGAGTTGTTTTTTCTAAACGGAAACTTCAGCATTCAGGTTTAATTGCGGTGTTGGTGCTTTGCGGTAAATAAGTGGGTTTTGGGTTGCAGTTTGGCACTTGGGCTCTAAAATTTTGCCATCAATGTTGCAGCCATTAATAAATGACTTAGTCACGTGTCAATATGCATCAACTTAAACACATAATATAGGGACAAAAAAGCTAGAGATATTAGTGGGATATATGCGGAATAATGCCATCAGTATAAGTTCAAAAACATACAAAACTGTACTGGGGCCACTTGCAGTGTGGTACATGCCTTATGACCTTAGCCACTTGGAGGCTGAGGCAGGAGGGTCATTGGTTGGAGGCCAGCCTGGGGAACTTAAGAAGGCACTACCTCAAAATAAATATGTACATACATGAAAAGGGCTGGGGGTATAGCTCAGTGAAAAAGCCCTGGATTCAATCCCCAGCATTGTAAAATAAACAACACTATCCCAGGGTATTTCTTATGTGTGTGTATTCATATAATAAAGTATAAAGGGTATATGAAATGATAAACTCCATATTTAAGACAGAATATACCTATGGAGAAGAAAGGATGTGCAAAGATGTAAATTTGGACGTGTGATGTTTTATTTCATTGACAAATTGTGTATGTTTGTTATCTACAACATGTTTTGCATGTACTGCTCTAGTTCCCGTACTGATAGGTGGCAGCTACCCAAGTATTTACACTAACTGTGCACTATACGTCTCACATATCTCATGCGAGAATAATTTTGAAACCTCGGTTGTCTGTGTTCATCACAGGAAATTTCAATGGTGCAGATATAAACAGCAGAGGCGGCAAACTGCCACCTACCCTCTCACTGCCCCAGAGATAACAGTAACTGTCACCTCTCGGGCATGTACTCTTCAGGGCTCAGGCCAGAACAGGGCTCTCAGGAAGAGGTTAAGCACACACCTCTTCCAAGTTGCCCCAAGGAGGGCAACCGCCTTGCTGGGGTCAATTTGCAGCAGTCTGAGCATCTTCTCTCCCGTAAGGCCTCGGCAGATAGGGAAGACCTCATCACAAGCAGACTTTCCACCCGACTCTGCATTTCCAGAGTTCCTCCTGGAGGGTCACAAAGGCCCCTGAGTTAGAGACAAATGTTCCCCGGATCCCCTTCTACCAGCAGGAACTCTAGCATTGTCCTGGGGCAGGAGCTGCTGCCTGGGTCAGTTGTAGTAATGGACCTGGGCACGGGGGAACTGGGAGTGCGGAGCAGACTCTGGGAGGAGCGGTTGTTGGGGAGCCCATTGCTGCCATGTGGATAAAGACTTAGGAAAAATGGGTTAGGTTCCCTGACAGGCTTCAGGTACTGCAAGCCACTCCCACAGACCATTTTCCATTGTGCCATTTGTGTAAAACAAGATACATGCGGCTGTGAGCCCAAGACTTTCACCAAACTGGCATTTGTTCTCTGCTCTGCCAGTGCACAAGTTCATGATCGCCCTGCTGGACGCCAAGCACCAGGACCTTTGCTTTTCTGCCTGTGGCGTTCTCCTCAATCTCACTGTGGACAAAGACAAGCGCATTGTCCTAAAGGAAGGAGGCGGCATTAAAAAGTAAGTGTCAAAACACAGAGTCAAGACTCAGGGTTCAGAGGATGCAGCTTCCTAGGAGCTCAGGTCTGGTGTGTTCTCCGGGCCAGAGGTATTTCAACATTATGAACCCCAGGCTGGGGTAAGGAGGGGACTTAGGTTCCACTAGATGCTTAAAATCATTCACAAGGGACGCACTGCTGTCTTAAATCTGTAGATTTTATTTTAAATGTTGACCATTGAATTGTATACGCCGCCTATTAACTATCACAGAATAATCATCATGCTAAACGTGCAGAAATTAAAGGCAGGCTCTGATGTCTCAATTTGACTTTTTATAAACTCAGGCTAATGGACTGTTTAAGAGATTTTGGCCCTACTGATTGGCAGCTGGCCTGCTTGGTCTGCAAAACTTTATGGAACTTCAGTGAAAATACCAGCAGTGCTTCGTCCTGTTTTGGAGATGAGGACACCAACACACTCCTCGTCCTCTTGTCTTCATTTTTAAGTAAGTGAATCTGTGCGCTTCATCAGTGCAAGAATGGTGTTTTGTATGAGTCAGTATTGATGTGGGTTTGGGTAGCTGTTTTTCTATAAGCAAGGAAAGAATGTCGAAGGTTATTACAATTTGGAACTCTCTTGAAGAAACTGAATGTTATCTTCAGTAGGGATGGGACTTTTTATTCCTACAATACAGGCATGATTTTTTTAATGACTTTTTTCTTTTTATTTTATAGGCTGCATAACTACAAGTTCAACGTAACTATTTCTGTTGGTTAGAAATGTTTTGATACTGTCGAAACTGAAAAAATATGACTAAAAGCGACTTAAATGTTTTTAAGCGAATCTCTACATTTGAGTTAGTAGCTAAGTTAGTTATGTTAGTTATCATATAGGAGTGGGTCTGAAAACTGTTTGCATCACAGTGGGGTCCATATCCTTAAAATGTAGAAACCAAGTTGTGCAAACTAAAGAGGATCACTTCTTTAACTTTTTATCAGTACCAAGGATTGAACTCACAACTGCCTGCTTGCAAGGCAGGTGCTTATGCCACTGAGCTAAATCCCCAGCCCCCAAGGATCACTTCTTATTTTGTTTGTTTTGTTTCTGTTTTCAGGGTAGTTTTTTTCATCCTGGATTAAAACAATGATCTGGGTCAGTACATGAGTTGAGTGTTTTCAGTAATTTTTTTCTCCACGAGGAGAAGGCATAACCACCATTGTCCAGCCACTGATTGGCCAAGCTCTGGGGAAAGGTGTCCTGTCCTGTAACTCTGAAGCCACTGGGTCAAATCCTCCCGCCTCCTTGCTTTATTTCTTGCGAGTGTTTAAACCTGAGGCTTACCCTGCCTGGAATCTCTATGCATCGTCTCTGTGGGAGGGCCAGTTAACATCTACCCTGCACCAATGATCAGGTTGATAATCGAACATACACTTACAGAGAGCCTGATGTTCCCCTGAGACCTGGGGAGTCCTGGAAAGACCCCCCCAAAGTGTGTTGTCATAGTGTGTTACCTAACAGGCATTGAAACTCAGAAGTTATTTGAAAGAATCAGTTGTACTAGATTGTTGTGAAATTTGCTTTTTTTCCCAAGTAATTATAACTTTGCGTGTGTGTTTAAAAATACAGAATACAGGAGCTGGGGATTTAGCTCAGCGGCATAAGTGCCTGCTTTGCAAGCAGGCAGTCGCAAGTTCAATCCTGGTATCGATAAAAACAAAAAAGACAAAAAAACAAAAACAAAACAGAATACGAAAGCATTAATTGGTTGGGTTCACAGTCTGCCCTTGAGTCTTAAGCTTTCTTAGGAAGCTAAAGGATGTACTCTGGCTACCTAACTCACTTCTCCAAATCCTTTCATTTAGTCACCTATTTGGTGCTAGGGAGGGAGCCAAAGGCCCCTTCTGTGCTTAGCAAGTGCTCCAGCGCCTTTGATTCCAGTGTGAGTGGAGCATTGTAATCAGCTGTGAAATAAAAAGAAATACTCATTTTGGCCCATGCTCCGGAATTCCGCTTGAGGAGCTGGGGTGGGACTGAGGAGCTGTGCTTTAAAAGTGAGTTGGACGTGCGGTGAGGGGTGGGAACCTTGGCTGCGGTCAGTGAGGGAATTCAGGAAAGGATGCACCAGCGCAAGTGAAGCCAGGAAGCAAGATGCTCCCCTGAGAAGCCGGGGCCTCTGGGCACAGGCATTGTGAGCCCCACCCTTGGGCTCCAGAGCGCTTGGCCACGGAGGAGAAAGTCCTCTCTTCTCTCCCCTTGCTTCCTCTGGGCTCCCGCCACCTCTGCACTTCCATTGCTGCGCTCAGTAAGCTCAGTAAGCATCTCTCTGTGTCTCCCCTGCTGCTGGCACGCCGTCCTGGGTCTGCCTTTCAGGAGGGAGTTGCTATCGGCTTAGTGAATCACTTTCCTGTGGCCTAAGGGTTTTGTGTGGGGGTGACAGGCAGGCTAGCTGTGGCTTCCTCTCTTACCTCAGTCTGGGGCAGTCCGTGATAAATAACCAGGAGTGTGGGGCCCCACTGCACTGCATGAGGACCAGCAGGGACCGCGCTGGCTGCAGAGCTGGGGGCCGCATCCGTGAAAGCTGATTGCCATCATTCTGTTCCCAAGTTTCCAGCGTTGGGCTATTCGAGTTTCTAGCCTTTGCCTGTCCCCCATGCCCTGTGTGCTGTGCAGGTGCTGCCGTCCTGCCAAGCTCCTTTTATAGTTCTGAAGCCCACAATCCTACGAAAACCTCTACTTATTATATAGCAAATTGCATAATCACGATTTGTGTGATTTCTCTTGGGTTAATGTTCTGTAAATTTCTCCTTTCCAACTCAGCCACTTTAGGGGAAAAAGAACATTGCCTCACACAAAGTAGGCACTTGACAAGTGCTTGTAGATTAAGAACAGTAGTGTTACCTGTGTTTTCGTAGCGCTGCATACCTTAGCTTTGGGAACTGTAGGTGTGCCTTGTGTGGGGCTGGGGCCTGCACCTAGGGCTCTGGGCTTGCTAGGCAAGTGCTCTACCACTGGCTTATACCCTTAGCCCTAATGGTGTTACACACTTTTAAAATTTTGAAAATTTTTGAAACATATCCTCACGCACCAAAAAAATGTCTGGCGTCATTAGCTAAGTGACAGATGAAGAGTCAGTCTAGAAGGGTTAGATGACTTGCCTTAGGACACATGATATCAAAGCCAGACTTTTCATCAGGAGATAAACATCTCGCCTGTGTTTTTCTGCTGTTCCATTACACAGTACATCCTGACCCCAGGCCACCCCTTGGAAGGAGCCTACGGCATAGATAACAAAAATAAACAGAGTTTGATCAGGGAACCCAGCCACAGTACAAACTATGATGCTTTCTCACATGACGAAGAGCTCCTAAGGATTATGAGGGCTGGGGCTCGTGGGCTCTGTGGTCTACACTGCTCCTAGGCTTTTTCCAAGCGAGGTGAGCACTGAGACCCTTACTTCTGACCCTTCCAGGGCCACGGTTGTATGTGGATCATTGACCTGCTGCAGTGAAGCGGGCATGTGGGGAATTAAATTTCAATTCTTTTTCAAAGATAGCTTTAATAGAAGAGGTTATTTTGAACACAGTTTGAGCTAGTAAATCACAAAGGCACATGTTAAAAAATTGGGCTGTTTCTGTAAATAATGGCCAGGCAATTGATATAGTAATAAAAGTTTGCTAAATTTTTTTTGCAGGGTGACTAGGGGAAAAAAGGCAGAAAGTTCTTCTATTCAATATGGTTGAAATGTTGAGGCTTTCTGGAAAGAAGCTTAAAAAAACATTGTCTAAAGCTTTCTGGTATACTTCAGTTGCTTCTTACAAACTCCCGATTGATGTGTTTACCTGGAAGTTCTTAGTAGTAGCTCCTGGCACCCTAATCGCCATGACCCCCTCTCCTGCAGCGGCTTTGTGTGCAGCTGATTGTCACAAATGGGGCGAACACTAGGTTATTGTGTGCTCGTAAGGTGTGTGGAACCTGGCACTCAGATTTGGTGACGAGGCCTCTGCCAGGGAGCTATCAGGTGCTTCTGGGACGGATGAGGATTCTGGTTCATGAGAGAGAGATCAGGACAGTGACACATCCCTGCAACAGCTGCCTGGTGCTCCAGGGCAAGCCGGGAAATAGTGCCCTAATGCTGTAATCCACTTGACCTGTAAGGATGACCATGTTGTAATTATCACTGGCAGGTTTATTACTTTGAGTGTTTTAATAGTTTCTAATGACCTTATTTCAAATTTTAACATTTAACCCAAATGTTTGTCTGGTGTTTTTTGTTGTTGTTTTTGGTTTTTTTGAGACAGCAGCTCACTGTGTAGTCCAGGCTGGCCGTGAACTCACAAGGATTCTTCCATGTCAGTCTACTGAGTGCTGGGATTATAGGCAAGCACCGCCTTGCTTGGCTTTCAAATTTTAGTATATTTGAAAGTATGCAATGTATGAAGAAAGCTTAAGAGTGATTGGTTATCTAAACCAATCCTTTTCGTGCTGTGGGTTATGAAATCAACTTAGTTGGTTGTAACCCACATCTTTTGAGTTTTTGAGACAGGGTCTCACTGTGTAGTTCAGGCTGACCTTGAACTCACTATGTAGCCCTGGCTAGCCTGGAACGTGTGGTGATCCTCCCACCTCAGCTTCCAGAATGCTGTGATTACAGGTATGCACCACCATGCTGGCGTCCACATTCTTTTAAAAAATGAAATAATCAGTTAAGTGTGGTGGCTCATGGCTATAAAGACCTTGTCTGAAAATTTAAAAATGAAACGATCTGAGGATGTAGCTCAGTGTGGTGGCCCTGGATTCAGTTCCCAATATTGGAAACAAAGAAAGAAACTCTCAAAGAAAGAAAATATCAGAATATATTACGTGGAGTCATTCTGTTGTGAAACATGTTGTTTGTTTTAATTTTTTTTAAAATTTTATTTAAGGAGAAAAAAAGCAGAGAAAGGGTACAAGTTATACAGATTTACAGAAAAAAATAAACAGTAGGAAATCACTAGTTAATGGATTACATATTGTCATCTTAGAAATAACTGTTCAAGTCACAAAATTAAAGCTTGTAAAGTGAACATTCCAACAGTGAGACTGCAAACAGCTCTGTTCAATGATCCAATAAAACTCAGTGATATCATTTTCTATCTTATACACTTAAATATACATGCAGTTATATCATTTAGAGCACTTTCTTTTCCTCTCTTTTGTACAATGACAATTACACATTTTGGGTTTTGTTACTCCCACAGTTCTTATTACTTTTTGGAAGGGAGTAGAACCAAATGTGACATAACAGAACAGAGTCAATCAAATCAAAAGGGTGGACATAATAGATAATGTAAAAGCATAATACAAGGTGATCAACAATGGTTACCATAATGCCTCCCGCTATCTCTAATAGAATTGCCTATATCATCAGTTATAATAAAATTGAACAAAACAGTAAAGAACAAAACCGACAAAACCAAAACATTGGAGACATTATAGGTCTTCAAAAGTAGATAAAAGTCAACGAGAATGGGCATCATAATGAATCTCACCATCTTCACAGCTGTTGCCTAAACTTTCGAACCTGGTACTATCAAGCAAAACAGAATAGGGGGACATCAGTCAAAAACAAGATGGTGAGAGTAATACAGGGCTTTAAATCAAGATAATGGAAAGTCAAAGTGGGTTACTATAATATATCCTGCTATTTTTTATTTATTTTTCCCTTAATTAAAAGGATAAAAATAAAAAAGTAAGTAATGAAGTGGACATTGAGATAACAGAGGTCATAACAGCAAAACAGCGCAGATCAAAACATAACCATTTAAGCAGAATAGTGTTTCACCACCAGATAATCCTGACATAAAAGTAGTTACCATATTGTCTCTTTCCTTGAAATCTTTGAGTATAACTTCGTATACTGTAGCATCAAATATATCAAAACAATGTAAAACCATTTAAGAGAATGACAGCATTACAGGGTATTTAGAATCAACTAACAGAAAATGAACAATGGTTTCTGTATAATCTCCTTGTCTTTAAAAGTTTTTGCTTATACTATCGTACATACTAAAATCCAGTAAGATACAACCTGTTTAGACCATTGGAGACAGAAGAACAAAAGCTTGATGAGACTTCAAAACAAGATGATACTAAATCAGTATTACCTATTAAGACGTCATTTTCTCCAAAATAGCTGTTCCTATCATCCAGTCTTCTCTGCCTCATTTCTGTTGAGCTCTTTTTCTGTCATTAGTTGTCAGTTTGTCTTCTTCATTTTGTTTTCTGCTCCATTCATTGTGGCCTTTCTGCCACTATTTCTGGGTTCTTTGTATTTTTCTTTTTTAGAATATCCTGCAGTATTCTCTGTAGAGTTGAATTGGTGGTTGCAAATTCCCCTAGTTCCTCTTTATCCTGGAAGCACCTTGTTTTTCCATCCAGGGATAGTTGTGCAGGATATATCAATCTTGGCTGGAGATTATTATCTTTCAAAGCTTGAATTATTTTCCCCCATGCTCTTCGTGATTTGATGGTTTGTGCAGAGAAATCTGCTGTAATTCTGATGGGTGTTCCCTTGTAAGTGGTCTGTTTCTTGTCTCTGACAGCTTTTGATATTCTGTTCTTGTATTGAATTTCTGGAATTTTTATTATTATATACCTGGGTGTTGCTCTGTTTGGGTTGTAGGTGGCTGGGGTCCTGTATGCCTCAGACATCTGAGTATCTTTACCTTTTGCTAAATTAGGAAAATTCTCCTGGATTATTTCTGTGAGTAGCTTTTGTAGCTCATTTGTTTGTGTCCCTACTTCTTCTTTTATGTTCTTAATTCTTAAGTTATGGATCCTCTTATCATCTTCTTGTCTTTGTATTATTGCTGTTTGTTTCTTTGTTACTTTTAAGAAGTTTTTCATTTCATTCTCCCATATTACAAATCTGCCCTCCAGTTCAGATAGTCTGTCCTTAGTTTCTTTCAAGCTGCGAGTTTTTGATAGAGTTTTTAGTTTCCTGGTAGTCTCTTTCAACCTGCTTCATGTATTCTATGCTTTCTCTATTTTCTCCATCAAACAGTTCCCCCCTCTTTTTCTGATCTTCCATTCCACCATCTGTTTTTTCTTGGGTGGTGCTTAGCATTTTTCTAACTATTCTGCTTACATCTAGCTTCAGGTCATTAATAACTTCATTCCTGAACTGATCTATGAGGCTCTCTAGATGGCGCTTTATGTCTATTGGTGCGGTGTCCGCTATTGCCTGTTTCTCAGGATTGGGGGCTGAGGAGCCTTTCTTGTTGCTGCCTCTTCCCATATTCTTTGTTCCTTATATATGCAAGCTTATATAGGAGGCCCAGCTTCCCTCCCTGTCAGCCACAGCCTGATCAAATTGCACCGGCTCTGTGTTCCCGCCCACCACAGCACACCAGGAAATTGTAGACCAGGCAGCCTAGGCAGGGCCCACCCCTCCAGGCCACCCTCAGGCTCTGGGATCTGGGTTGTGCCAGCCTACTGGGTCTCCGCCAGCAGCGTCACATAGGCTAGGCACCTCTCACCAATCCCGCTTGAGAGGGGGATACGTGGCTGAAGTCACTGCAGCGCCCTGTTCCCGCAAGTCTGCCCAGTCCCAGAATGTCCTCCGCTGGAGTCAAACTGTGGAAGAGTGTCAGTTTCTCTCACTCACCTCACCACAAGTCAGTGCACAGCTCCCCACCCGTCCTGTTTTCAACTCCGTTCTCTGATTCCCGTTCTCAGAGCTTCCGCGCGTCTCTCTCCCTGCCGAGCCGATGTAGACGCAGCCGCCGCGCGGCGGGAAACCCAAATCGTGGCTTCCAATGCCGCGGGCTCCAGCCTCCACACTGAGGCTTTTCTGTTCCTGTTCTAGCACCAGGACTGCATTCCAAGTTGGTTTCTCTCAGCCCAGTTCATTCTTGGGTCAGCAGAGCATATCTCCACCTGCTTATGACTCCTTATTCCGCACCTTTCCTGAATTCTAAGCTGGGTCTTTCAGAGAGCCTCCGTAGCTGCTGCTATTTGTCCGCCATGTTCTCCGGAAGTCCGAAACATGTTATTTGTATATAACTAAGTAATGTATTCAGTGTTACATGCATTTTTACTGTGGGTCACTGTAAGTTTGAAAATCACAGATCCAAATTTTCATTAAACTAGTTTGTGCTAGTTTTTGAAGTGCTAGTTTAAAACTTCAATATCTAGTACAAGGCATGTCACGGAGCACTTTGAGTGTTTGCCATGTTTATGCTGAAACTGCACAGCGCACGCGTTTCTCTCTATATGGCAGTTTAGCAACTTTCGTGTCTTTTTATCCCAATTTAGAATTAATATGATCTGAATATTAGATAAACTAATTTCTAAGGATCAGTAGGCTGGAACTCAAGAGTAATAAAGAGAGGAAGAGAGAAGGGAGGGCAGGAAGGAGAGAAGGACGGAGAAGAAAACCAATGGAAATTCTGTAAAAATCACCAAATCCAATCAAAGCCCCAGGGAGAGGAAGGGCCAGCCCAGCGCGTGGGCCTCCAGCAGCTTGGGGAAGAAAGGTATAAAACCAAAGGATTCCTCCCTTAACTGAAGCTTAGAAATCAGCACATCTGGAAAGGAGTGAGAAGAAAATCTAGAAATTCGAAGTCACTCAGAATCTAGCAGTCTGGAAGTAGCCAACGGGAAGGGATTTGAAGACTTCAGGTCCGCTCTGCATCTCCCCCAGGGGCCTGGTTATCTCGTGAGGAGGGGAAGCTCACTTGCTTCAGGGTTTTGGAGAGAGGTGCCTTGCAGAAATGTTGGCATCTGCCTGGAACTTATCTCAAAGCTGCATAGCTGTCCACTCGGTCGCCAGCAAGAGGTACATGCTGGGATTGGACACTCCCTTATCTTAGGCTGGGTGGTGACAGTAATATCTTTAGTGCCAAAGTACACAGGAGCATACACAAACATTCAGTGTATAAAATCTGATGTAATCAGAGTAATGAGAAATATGTTTGGAAATTATGTAAGTGGCAGCCTTTGTGGTCATCTGGGGACTCAGTGGTTGTCATTTGAGAAGTCAGCCTCAGGCCACAGACCTAGGAAGTGGCAGAGCCAGCATTCTGACTGGCAAGCCAATGTTCCCCCCCACCGTCTGTCACATGGAGGATGAGGTAAGGCCTGATATAAACAAGTAAAAATGTGACAAATTGGCACAGAAACTCCAGGAAACTATCTTCCTACTTGGGTTGAATACACCTACGCTCTTCACAGAATTCAGGGGTCCTTGCATAATGAATAACATTAAAGTTGTAATTTGGCTTTTTTTTTTCATTTTTTAACAAAGGGAATTTTTTTTCATTACCTATGGCCTTGCTTGGATTTGAACACTCCTTGGAATTGTCAAATTTCCTCATTTATCAGTTATTGGAGTAAATGTGAGATGAGGATAGGTGTGTAGATTATCTCTTTAAAGAAGTCTGTCCCTACTGCTTCGAAGCTGAGAGTTCTAATTTTCAGTCAGGTTTTCTGCATTTATATTTGCAATGTTGAGGCTCAAACCCAGGCCCTTGCTCTTGGTAGGGATCACTGAACCCCTGGGCCACATCCCTAGTCCCTTGGTAAAGCATCAGAGTCACCCGGCCCACTTTCCCAAAGGATTTCTGACTCCATCATAGAAGTTCAATAACTTTCCTAATGCATATGTCAGGATGCAACCTATTAGTACTTTGGTTATCCTGACAAACTGTAATCTGATTTCAGATGCAAATTTATATGTAAAAAACAAAGAGACTAAAAAAGTTCAATTTAGAAATTTTTAAAAAAGAAAACAGTTGCCCTATTAACAGAATATATTTGCTTTAAATATTTATAGAGAATAAAAGAGGGTAAAAATCCTGGTGTGGTGATCCCTGCCCGCTAACAACACCAGCACTCGGGGTGAGGCAGGAGGATCGCTGCAAGTTCAAGGTGAACCCCGGCAACAAAGTGAATCCAAACCAGCCTGAACTGTGTAGCAAAACCCTGTCTTAAAAAGACAAAAAAAGAGTTTCACGGGGTGCGGTGGCTTGCACCTATAGTCCAGGCTACTTGGGAAACAAGGAGGAGCATTTGAACCCAAGAGTTTAAGACCGACCTGAGCAGTGTAAGGAGCCCCCCTTTCAAAATACACAAGCCTGTCTTGCATCACACTGGTATTAAAGATGATCCAAGACCAGTTTTACTCGTGTGATCAAAAATCAAACTCTCCACTAGGATTCTATGCCCAAATAACGACCGCAATTTCAACTTTTCTGGTACAGATGAGGAACTAGCACTGGATAGCAGCTTTGATCCAGATCTGAAGAGCTATCACAGACTTCAGTGGGAAACAGAGTTCAAGCCTGTGGCCCTGCAGCTCCTAAACCGGATTCAGAGCCGGTACGCCTTGCTGGAACCCCTGCCTGTGCCTTCTTCCTGACGACAGAAACAGGGAGTCGGGTCTCCCTCACTCCTAAGAAGTGGTAACCACTGTGAACTTTTTTAGTATTAATGAAATGTTGCGGGCCGGGGAGGCGGCTCAGCGGCACAGCGCCTGCCTGGCAAGCGCGAGGTCCTGAGTTCGATTCTCCGTACCCCTCCCCTGCCCAAATAAAGAAATATTGAACGTTTTTAAATTACGGATTGTAGTGAAAAGCCTAAGTATTTTAAGGTAAACGAGCATTTCTTCTTATTAGGTGTTAGGGAGAAAATGAATGTACATGTTATTGATGAGAAGTGTAAAACAAAAATGCATTTTTAAAAACATGGCTTTTTCTTCTATTTGGCAATAATTTAGCGTTAGTTTTAAAATTCCAATTTAACACTTTGTCAGTTTATTAGTTAAATGAACTGTTCAGTGAAGACTATTATTTTATTTATTAATTTTTTAGGGTATTAGATATTTGACTGTAGAGGGATGGTAAACAGGGATGGGACACGTTTCTGCGCAGGCGGTTATTCTAATGCTGACAGTGTCAAAAAATAGGTTTTCTGGTTAGGGACCAGCATTTTTTGGTCCTAGAAGAGAAAGAATAGGCAGAAAAATAGAATACTGCTGTGAAGCGTCTGCTTTTATTAAATGAGTGACGTAGAGGAGAAGGTATGTTCCCCTGTGTCTTCAGGGACTAGCAGCCCTTACAACCGTCACGCTGGGTGCCCAGCGGGGTCCCACAATGGGCAGGGTAACAACAGAGGGCAGTCGTAGTGGACCGCAGAGCTGTTTGGATTCTGATTTTCCCGTGCTTGGGTTGGCCTTGAGCACTTACATTGTAAAGTGAGAACAGCGTCTGTTTTGTTACAACGTAGTGTAGAATCAGCCATTAAATGGCCAGGGTGTCCACTCCCGTTTAGTACTTGTGGAAGAGCTAAGTTACACATTGTAATGGCAATTAATTTCACTGTGTGTATGTGTGTGTGTGTGTGTGTGTGTGTGTGTGTGTGTGTGTGTGTGGATAAGTTGGGTTTTGAATACGTGATTTAAAAATGCAAATCAAAATTACTGTTGTTATCCCTCCTGGCCAAATGAAGATTTGGAAATCAAAGTCAGTTTATAACTCTGCTTAGGGAGAAGCTGTGAATAGCTCTTACCCTGAACGTAAACAGGCAGCCGTCCCAGACTGATGGGTGTTGAAGCCCGTTAGTAAGCTCCATTTCAGTCATGTGGGACTCATCCATGGCTGGGGCTCAGCAAAATCCCAAAGGCACTTTTCACTGCATTGTAGTCCATAATCTGTAAGTGCACGCTGGTAGAGTCAGTCCAATAGTTGAAATCACTTTGAGCCTGAAGGACTAATCTCCAAAATATTTCAGGATAAAAGTCTGTGTTAGATCCATAGCAAGCAAACAATCAAGCCCTTCCTCACCCAAGATATGCTCCCCGCCCCCCCGGAATTTATAAAAACTCACTGTATGATACCCTTAGACCTAGTCTCCTTGCCAAAAAGCTCCCCTGCAGACTTGTGTAAACTGGACTGTTTGCAACGACCCACTTCCTTTAAAAGTTTTTGCCGTTGAAAAAACATAATACATATATAAAACCTCCCATCTTAAGTATGCATGTGGCGTAACTGCTTTTAATTGTAAGATTCAGTGGTGTTAAATAAATTCACACTATTTTGCACCCTGACTGTAGAACTTTTTCATCTTACAAAATGAAACTCTATACGTCTTCAACAATTCCATACTTCCTGTCCTGGAAAACACCACTGTCCCTTCTGATTAGCACAAGATCTGTGATCATAAACATGGAATCAGGCAGTATATTTTCATTTTGTTTTTGTGTTTTTATTTTTTTATTCTGTAACTTTGCTGAACTTAAAAAAATTTTGTTCTAATAGTTATTTTCTTATGAGAACATGCTATCTGTAGAGATAATTTTACTTCTTCCTTTCCTGTGGTGCTATTTATTTCTTGGCTAATTTTTTGGGCCAGGACTTTGCAGAACTATATTAATAAAAGTGATAAAACCAAACACCCTTGTCTTGGTCCTGATTTTCTTCAGTCTTGTCATGAAGTTTGATGTTAGTTGTGGGTTTTGTATATGGCCTTATTTTGCTGGGATGGTTTCTTTCTCCTTGCTTACTGTTTTTATCATGAAAGGGTGTTGAATTTTGTTAAATGTTTTGCCTCATCGGCTGAAATGATTTTGTGATTTTTTTGCCCTTTCATTCTGTTCAAATGCTGTATTAAAATGATTGTCTGTTGTATCATCCTTGTATTCCAGAAATGAATCCCATCTAGTCATGGTGTGCCATCCTGGTAATGTGCTTCTGAGTTCTCCCTGCTAGGGTTTGGTGGAGGACTTTCACATCAGCGTTCATCAGTGATGCTGACCTTGTAGTATCTTCTGAATTTGGTATCAGAGTATTCCTCTCCTCATGGAATGAAGTTGGAAGTGTTAATGATGTTTAATTATTTAAATATTTCAAATGCTGGCTAGGGTGGCACATCTATAATCCCAGGACTCAGAGGCTGAGGCAGAAGAAGCATCACTGTAAATCCAAGCCAGCCTGATACATATAGTGAGTTCAAGGCCAGCCTAAGCTACATAGTGAGACACTATCTCAAAACATTTTTTTTTTTTTTTTGGTAGAATTCTCCTGTGAAGCAATCTGGCCTGGGTTTTTCTTTGTTGGCAGCTTTTTAATTATTGATTCAGTCTCCATATTAGTTATAGATCTTTAGATTTTCTATTTATTTTCTATTCCCATCCTAGTAGGTTCTGTCTTTCTGGGTTATCCAATTTGCTGGTGTACAGTTGTTCATGGTATTTTCCTATGATTTATATTTCTATGATATCAGTTGTAATTCCTTTTTTATTTTTTTAATTTTTAGATTTATTGGAAGTATAGTTTCACTACTAGTGCAGGCTGGCCTTGAACTTGCTAGATAGCCTCGGCAAGTGATGGCAAATCTTTTAGAGACCAGGTGTCCAGACAGCAACCTAAAACCCACTAACTTATCACACAAAGCCAACACTGCAATTAAACCTGGATGCTGAGGTTTTAGTTTAGAAAAACAACTCCACATGAAAATTTGTCTTAAAAGAAAAACACATAACAGAGATTTCAGTTACAGCTTTTTACTGAAAGGTGAAATTTGCGTTTGGCGTGCTTTTGCACATCAAAGTGATCTCTGCTGTGTGTTGATCATTTGTCAACACTTGGCTGAGGCAGCTTGACTCATGTGCCAGCAGAGAGGGTTCTGGGTGCCTGCTGTGGCTTGTGTGCCATAGATTCGCCACCCCCGGCATGGACCAGCCTTCATCGATCCTCCTATCTCAGCCTCCCGAGTGGGGGGGTAACAGGTGTGTCATCCCGTGCTCAGCACCTCATGTCTAATTATAGTTATCTGAATATTTTTCTTTAACTAGCTAAAGTTTTATCAGTTTTGTTGTTCTTTTATTATAAATCAACTCAACTTTTTTTCTATCTCATTTATCTTTGCTGTAATTTTCTTCTGCTGGGTTTAGGCTTCATTTGTTTCCTAGTTCTTTGAGGAATAAGCTTGGATTTCTGATTTGAGCTCTTCTTTTTACTGAAAGGTCTGATAGCTAGAGCTTCCTTCTCAGCCTTTGTTGTGGCTTAGATCCAGAATGTCCCCGAAGTCTTGTGTATTCAGACTTGGGGTTTATGGAAGGTGATTGGCTCCCGGGAGCTGACCTCTTGATGGGCTTATGTCTGAATGCAGCACGAGGAGGTTGGGTCTGGCTGAGAGTGACCTGGCAGAGATCATTCTTGTTCTGGCTCCTCCCTTCCCCTCTGCTTCCTGGCTGCTGTGCACTGAGCGGCTGTCTCTCCTTTGCAGTACCCTTCTCCCATGTCATTTCCGCCTTGGAGCCAGCAGAGAGGACTATAGACTGAACCCCCCAAAAGCTGAATTAAACCTCTCTCCCTGTAAACTGTGGGTGTGGAGTATTTTGTCCCGGTGATAGGAAGCCAACTGATACTGGATTGCTTCCACTACATCCGTGGAGTGATGCTGTGGCACATACTTACTTTCTTTTGTCTGGAAATCTTTACTAATTTCCCTTGTGATTTTTTGACCCATTTTGGGGGAGATATTTTGCTTTATTTTTTCTTGTATAAAAACTGTATGTTGTGGTTACTGCTGGAGCTTGAGTCCTCTGGATGGAGAGTCTGATACGGGGTTTTACAGGATGGTCAGTGAATTCCTAGTGAATGCAGTCTCTTTCCAGAGATCAGGGATCAGGTAGCTGTAGGTCCTGCAGGTCTTAAGATGTGGCATCAAAGGTGTCTTGGCACAGATGCCCAGAGAGCGGTACAGCCCCTGCAGGGGTGTTGCAGTCATGAATGCAGCCGTCAGCAGCAGCTCTTTGGGTATAGGAGCTGAGACAGTGCCAGAGCCTCAGGGGTCAGGGAGAAGATGCACCACACAGAGCCACAGCAGCCCGTCACCTCGCAGAGGACAGTGTGGGGCTTGCTAATCCTGTTCCCCCAGCAGCCTCTCTGCACAGGGACAATGAAGAGCTTGGCCAAAATGATGGCCCTACAGATGGCGTGGCTACCTCCTTGAAGCGCTTTATACCCAGATCAACGTGACCATTACAGTGTGGTGGCAGCAAACCTGGTCCACTGAGCAGCTCGAGTTTGCCTCTGCCTGGACATGGCCATGCTTGAGGAATGTGCCCAGGAAAGGGGCAGCAGCCTCAGACTCCTTGATGGGCAGGGAGAAGAGACAAATCCCCAGGACTCGATCTGCAGGTCCTTGACCAGTGGCCACTGCAGAAGTCTTGGCAAAGCCACCACAGCTTCCCATGCTGAGGACCCAGGGCCCCCAGGCCCTCTATTGCACAAACATCATCTCCTATTTGGTGTTTAACGGAGGAAGAAGTCTATTTACTATTCAACGGTGTGTTTACTTTTTAGGTATTTATGGATTTGCCAGTTTCTCCTGCAGCACTGATGTTTATTTTTATTCCACTCTAATTAGATTTATGGCTTAAGTTAGTCAGACTTTTAGAATATTTCATGTATACTTAAGATTGTGTATTTGTTGTCATTGAATAGAGTATTCTGTGTATGTTAGGTCCACATGGCCTACAGTGGAATTAATGTCATGTTTCCTCTCTTATGTGTGAATATTCTGTCCATCATTGAAAGAGGCACCTTCAGCTATAAATAGGATGATCTTGAGGCCTTCATAGGTAAATGGAGGCAACTTGAGGCTATCCTCATAAGTGAAATAAATAAGAATCCTGTTTAGAAATATCACACTGTGTCTCTAGTGTAAAAAGAAATAAGAACTGTAGAAGTAATAAAACCCAAAATGTGTGATTGCTATTGTAAAAAAGACAGGAAAAGAAAGTACTCTAGAGGATGTAACTGCATGTGTGTTTAAATGTGTAAGATTGAGAACCATATTACTAAGATTTTGTTGAATCATTGAGCAGAACGGTTTGCAATCTCACTGTTTGAATGTCCACTTTGTATGCTTTAATTTTGTAATTGAACAGCTACTTCAAAGATGACAGTATGTAATTTATCCACTAGTGATTTCTTAGTGTTTATTTTGAAATTCTGTATTATTTCTAACCTTTTTACAGTTTTTTCTCTTTAAATATTTTTTAAAAAGGATAAAAATATAAACGTTACTAGTTTAAAATAAAAAGAGGCACCTGCTACTGTTACTGTACTACTGTCTCTTTGTATTCAGTTGTGCTAATGTTTGCTTCATACATTTAGGCGCTCTGATATTTGGTGCCCATGTAGTTATAATTGTTACAGCTTACTGGCAAATTACCCCTCTATCATTAATGATAAAAGTCCTTCTTTGGCTCTTATAATTTTTTTAACTTAAAATCTGTCTTGTCCAATATTAGTAATTTGTTTATAAGAGACTTTACGCTAAAGTTCCATGTAAACAGTAACCAAAGTGAATAGTTCACTTTGGTTACTGTTTACATGGAACTTTAGCCTAAAGTCTCTTATAAACAAATTATAGATGAATCTTTAAAAACCTATTCATTCAGGCCAGGTATGCTGCCATGTTCTTGTAATTCCAGTAAACTGAGAGGCTGAGGCGGGAGGATCACAAGTTTGAGGCCAACCTGGGCAATTTAATGATTTAGCACAACTCTGTGTCAGAAGGACTGGGGATACAGTTCAGGGCAGGGGCCCTGGTTTCATCCCCGGTACCACCAAAACGAACAAAAGAGCCCGTTCAGCCAGCGTGTGCCTTGTTATTGGTGAGCTCAAGCTATTTACACGTGATAGTTGCTGGTGAGAAAGAACCTGCCATGCTGGTTTTGTTATTTTGTCTCCATTTCCTTTCTTATCACCTGTCATCATTTCAGTGTACGCTTTGATCCCTCTTTATTTCTTTATATAGTCTAGAAATATTTTCTTTGTGGTTATCATGGGAAATTATATAAAAGATGTTAATGTTGTAACAGTGTTTTAAACTGCTTACAACTTTAATCATGTAGAAAAACTGTACTCAACAGTTCTGTCTGATCTCAGTGTATACACTATCCCTTTATAGATTAGGTACTCATCAGTAGAGACTGCAAGTTATTTGAATGCTTTTGTTATTTAAGTTCTTTACAAGAATTAAAAGTGGCCGGGCATGGTGGCATACACCTGTCACCCCAGCATTTGGAAGGCTGAAGGAGGAGAATCATGGACATTCAAGACTACTGTGGGCTACAAACTGTCTCAAAAATAAACTGTGAGTGTAAGTACCCAAATCACCATAATTCAAGTTTCCGTATTTGTTCATATGGTAATTTTTACTGAACAACTGTTTGTTTTCACGTGGTCTTACCTTGTGTCTGTAGTCCTTTTTCTCCAGTCTGAAGGACTCCTTTTGGGTGTGTCTTGTAGCAATGGTCTAATGATAACATACTGTCTTAGCATTAATTTAACTTGGGAAGTCCTGATTTTTTCCCACATTTTTGAAGGGTTGTTTCGCTGGGTATTGTATTCTTGACTGACAGTTTCTATCTTTCAGCTCTTGGAATACATTTTCTCTGCCTTCGGTCCTGTAAGGTTCCTGCTGGAAAACCTGGTAATCTTACGGTGCTCCCATGTAAGCGATGAAAAATACTTTTCTCTTGACACTTGTAGGATTGTTTTTGAATTTCAGTAGTTTATGACTCGGTATGAGTCTCCGGCTTTAGCCTCATTCGTCAGTTTTGAATTAGTACACCTATGTCTTTCATTAAACTTGCTGTACTTTTTAAAAATGAGCGCTCTAGCCTTTTCTCTCTCTCCTTCTAAGACTTCTTTTAACTTGTACGATGCTGGTGGTGGTCTGTAAATTTCCTAGGCTCTATTTTTGCATCCTCTTTTTCTCTGACTTTATGTCATGAACTTGCTTCCAAGTTCACGGGCCCTTTTTTCCTGTCTGATGAAGTCTGCTGGTAACTTTTTCGGTAAATTTTCTTAATTCAGTTACTTTTTAGCTCCAGAATTTTTTCCTCATTTTCTCTGTGTTGACAGCCTCACTTTGTTCCTGTGCTGTTTCCTGATTTCCTTTAGTTGTGTAGTCTGCTCTTTTTTAGCTCACTTAGCACTTTTTAGATAGTTGTTTTAAATCGTCGTCAAGTGATTCAGAGATCTGCATTTCTGAAGGATGTATTTCCGGAGATGTTCTTTGATTTGTATACCTCATGATATTTTGTTGAAATTTGGACATTTGGTAAGACAGACAGACACCTTTCCCGTCCTGTTTACAGACTGGCTCTGTGGAGGCACAGCCCTAGAACTCATCAGCCCAGTTAGAGAAGTTCTCAACCCTTTTCTGGGGAGGTGTCTTTTCGGAACTTCTGTTATAGGTGTGTGTTTATTCCAATGTGTGTGGCTGTTTTTACCTCTCTTCAAGTCCCTGAGAACTTCTCTGTCTCTCAAACAGGAGCCCGTTCAGTGTCTGTTGTATTTCCCTGTACTCTGGGGCTCCCCAGTGCCTGCCTGCAGACCCTCACACTCCGATCTGCTGCCACACATTTTCAGCATGTAGTCAGCATGCAGATCCTGGCACCAACTCTCACCCCTGCCCGGAGCTGCCTGAGGAACCGGCCCCACGGGCGATGCCCAGGCAAGCGAACACTGGACCAAAATTCCATCTCTTTTTTCTGTCCCGACGAAGAGGTGGAGAATCGGGAGGTCTCCTGCCAGTGGTTCCAAGAAAAGATGGGAAGAGTTAAGGTAAGAGAATGCCTTGGATGCAGCCTCGCCTGGCTGTGCAAGTGCTAATTGGTTTCTAGAGTCCTCAGAAAGTATTTTGATACTCAGTCTGCTGTTAACCGTCTCTGGGAGAATGAAGACCTGGCATGCCTGAGCCTTGGTCTTCCGACTTGCTGGACTCTCCATTTACCTGTCTTTTGCTATTCTTGATATTTACACAAAGATGCTAGGAAATCTCATGAAATAATATCAATGAAAAACATGCTTAACACATTTTACCTGCTGAGGTACTCATGTACCAAAAATAATTTGGTAATAGCTTTACTGCTAAAATTGGCCTCTTAATTTTTAAAATATCACAACCTCAGAAATTAAATGAGTAATTGTGACCTGAGAAATGTTTGAAATTTATTCCATTCTTACAGTATGTGTTACTTAAGTTTGGGATAATTTAAAAAGTTACTCAAATATTACCCCCTCAAATGCTTTTTAAAATTTTTTATTATTTTGAAGCTAGTAAAATATAACAAAAAAAGACAGAACAAGGCCAATTTAGACAGTGTAGTGAAATTAGTACAGAACTTCACAGCAGGTTACTGAGATACCAGTAATAGGTACCATAGTATATCTTGTTTTCTTCACAATAGTTGTTCTTTCAATCAGGTATAGCAAAATCAAACAAAATATAGAACATTATAGAACTTATCAAAACAATATTGAATAGAGCAATACCATTAATCAAAACAAAGCAAACAGTGATAAAAATATTTGCCTTCACAGAGATGGTAGAAGGAAATCCCCTTATTTGCTATATTGCGTATGGTCAGCCTCCCGAGAGATGCTCAGACCTCTGGCTCCCATCTGCTAAGACAGGGGGAGAGAATGATTCTCAGCCCACACACTGGTAGGCTCACTACCACTTAGCAGGGGGGCGAGCTGGTTGCTGGGTTCCCCCGCGCCCTCTCCGCAAATACTTTTAAAAAAATGAATCCTTGAAACCTCAACAAGGAACCACTTCATAATAATTTTAGAAAAAGTTTCCTCTGATGAGGATTTTTTAATATTCCTTATTCTACAGAACCTTTCCCAATTATTGTGGAAAGTATTCATTTCAGAAGTTACATAGTAACACTATTTGCACACCGCGGGGGAGGAGAGCACCAGGCCTCACGGGGAGGTGATCCCTGCCTGGAAACCAGGGCCATGTGCGGGCTGCTGTGTAGTGGGGACAGCCAGCCCCGAGCCCCTCTCCTGAGTCAGCGCCACTCACAGACTGTGGAAGGGACAGAGCCAGGCCTCACCAGGAAGGGATCCCGCCTGCCTGATTGTGTTAAGTCTGATGGCACCAGCAGCTAATTAGAAGATAGCAAGACATATTATGGTAGCCATTTGGGATTTACTATTGGCTTGTTTTCAAGTCTTTTAGTGCACTTTTGTTTGTATTGTTTCTGTTCTGTTCGACGTTTACTGTATCTGAAGGTATCTGCCGCTATTTTGAAGGCAACAAAAGGCATTACAGTAACTATTGTTGATTTTGTAAAGTTCTGAAGTTCTGTATTACTTATACTGGTTTATTTTGATTGGTTTTATTTTCCTTGCTTTTATCTTCTTTAAAATACAATTTTAAAATGTTACATGGTAATGTTAGAAATCCTGTGTATTTAGCTTTGAGAACACATTCTCAGCAAGAGGAAGCACCTGTAAAGTGGGAAGCATTCAGACATCAACTTTGTGTCACACGCACCTTTACTGCTTCAGGTATAAATGGTTTTACTCATTAAATCTCGCTTTCAGGCTGAGCAGAGTGGTGGATCCCAGTAATTCTAGCACTGGTTGAAGCCAGAGAATTATAGATTGCAGCCCAACCTGGTCATTTAGTTATGTGTGACCCTGTCTCAAAAATAAAACATTTTAAAAGAGGGACAGAGATTTAGCCCAGTTGAATTCAATCCTCAGTCCTGGAAAACAAAAAAACGAAAAGCAGTTCCTGGTTTCTAAGTGATCATCCGCTACAGTGCACTTAGGCCAACACTGCATCACGCTTGACCTTGCTTTGTGATAATTGTACTGCTAAGCAGAACCTCTCATAGAAAACTTGCATTTTCAAGTCAAGGTGCCAATAGCAAACAGTCGAAGGAGGAGAATCAGTAAAATGTTAACCATCCAGTTCAACCTTGTTAGTCCATCTCTATTATTATAGTAGCACACGGAAGAGGGCACACAAATGATGCCAGTTCAGTTATTGTTAGCTAACTAGAAACAGACACATTTCTTTAAATATATATTGAACATAATCCAAGTGGTCTTTTCACATGCATGTCTGTTATGGCTTGAGCGTGTCCCCAAAAGTCCTGCATTTGAATCTTACCTTCAATGTGGCAGTGGGGGGGGTGGAGCCCCACACGTGGATTAATGCTTTCATGGTCAGCCATCATGGTAGGTTTTTTGCTGTTGGTTTTGAGGTAGGGTCTCACTGTGTAGCTCAGGCTGGCCCCAAATTCATGGCAGTCTTCCTGCCTCAGCCTCCTCAGTCCTGCGATTCCAGAGCGGCTGATACACCATTCCCCGTGGTAGTTTTCTCTTTGCAGACATTTGCTTTCTCATTTTTTACTCCAAGTTGGCCCTCATCACACGTGCCTACTTGATCCTAACCTTTCAGATTATAGACCTGTGAGCTAAAATAAACATGTTCTCTTTATAAATTACCTATTCTCAGGTATTCTGCTGTAGCAATAGAAAATGGACTGAGGAAATATCCTTAAGGTCAAGTACCACCTTTATTCAAAACTGTTTCCCCAGCCCACAAATTTGTAGGCACTGATTGAGTTCAGTAAGTGTTCTGATGAGTCAGAGGCACGAGCCAATCAATTAGAACCCAAAGAAGACTTCTGCGAATTTACTTAGCTTATGAAAGTAAACAGAAACTCAAGTGTTACCAACTGTGAAATCACAATTTATGAAGACTGAGACAATAAAATTGGAGAAAATTATTCTTTATTGAAAAATACCAGTAATACTGACAGACCTCAAAAGCAATTCACGCTTCCAGAATACAAAGTATTTAATACATATTTAAAATTTGTTTGTATTTCAAAGTTAGCATTTTGGTAAATCCAATTTGATAACCTAACTTTCCAGCTTTATTATTCAAGGAGGGCTTGGGAGGCAGGCACAGGGGCCCAGCGCACCCAGGACTGCGCAGCAGTCTACAGCAGCCTCCCAGCGCAAAAGCGCTGCCAAGGACCGGCCCGTCCTCAGCGTCGGAGAACCTTGTGTCCAGACACCCGGGGTTTCTTACACTCCACACACTTTCCTTTCAGATTGCTTAGTAAAGAAAACATTTTAAGAATGCCACTGTAATTGAATATCCTCCAATAACTGAATTTAAAAATAACTATAAGAAATGAACTGTTACCATCAAATGGTCTTTGCTGAGCGGTAAGAATTCTATGCTTTTTCAGATGCAAAAAATTAACACGTATGCAAGTTTAATTTGAAACCACACAAAGTATGTATGTAGGCTCAGATAGTAGCAACGTTCACTGTAATCACTAATAGCTTAACTATTCCGCCAGCCAGGATAGCAGCACCAAGATCCTCTAAACTTGTTACATAGAAACCTTAAATCGTTATTCAAGTCCCCGTTCTCTGCATGCTCCAATTCTTGTTATCTCATTTAACACAAAAGCAGCAGGCTTTGGAGAGTCACTGTCTGCCGTACTGAAACAGCCGCACAGCATCTCGGGCGGTCACAAAGCACTCGCCGTGAGCAGCAGCCTGTCTTCACGCTCTGCGTGTGAGCCAGCAGCAGCTTTTCCACAGTCAGACAGCGGAAACTAAAGGAGCCTGGCACAATGGCTTCCGAGTCCTTGCACCCGCCGTTGGTCCTGCGGCTGGGCGCCTCCCCCCAGGACGCCATCTGCTCATCCTTCCAGGCATCTGAGGAAGAGGGCCATCAGGTCATATAGCGGGTGATGGCTCTCAGAGCGTACAGGAGCTCAGCTTGCATCCTCGCTTCTATAAGAAGCAGATTAACATGAACCTGCGTGGAAGACACAACACCATACAGGGAATCAGAACACTGACAATTACAGTTCTGTAAGCACATGTCCCTTGGGATCCGCAGGGGATGGCCCAGGACCCCTTTCAGACATAAAACCCCTGGGTGCTGCAGTTCCTTACACAGCGTACATCCCCCACACTGTCCCTCCTCTCCGTGTCCCTCACACAGTGTGCATGCCATGTAAACAGCTGTGTTCTGTTGTGCAGGGGACAATGACGATAGTGTCTATATATTCAGTAGAGACGCAGTGTTTTCTGCAGACTGTGGGTCTGTGTTTGCTGAACCTGTGGACGCAGAACCCGTGAACACGGGCTGACTGCACACTTTCCGCGTACCACCACGTAACCTGAGTTTTGAGCTATCTGACGTTCTTACTGGATACTGTCTGGAGCTTTCATTTACATTTGCTCACATCTTGCTTGGATATTTACTGTAGTCCAGCAAATCTAGCTGACGCTTTATCAGAATACCAGCATCCCTTGCCAAATCATCATGAGCAGTTAAAATGAGCTCCTGCAAAACCACCATTCTCTCGTACGTGCTGACAGCTGTGTGGGCCGCCCACCTCTCTCTCTCTTCACTCTTTTACTCTGTCACCATGCGGAGGCTGCCTTCCAAGGGGCACCCACGACAGCCATCCTAGAATGTTTTTCTTGAAGATCTCTGGTAAGTTACAGACTAAACTGGCCGCAGTGGCGCAGGCACATACCTTCTCGGAGTGCTTGAACTGCCTCCAGAAGCTGTCATACATTCTTTTAGTAACCTTTTCAGGAGTGCAAACAACGGTTTTGATATAAACTTTAAAGCTACGATCCAGCAGCTGGTTAATTTCACCATAGTCATAGTCATCATACCTGTTAAGACAGACAAACTGACAATGGTATGTTTTCATGTGTATGCACCAAAAATAAATGCTACATTTTTTTTTCCCTCTTTGTAGGCAGCTGTTCCCCTGAGTGACGCAGGTTAACTGGGGTGTAACTGGAGGATAAAGGTAAAGGATTTAGGGAAAGGAGCAGAAAATAGTCTAGTGCCCAAGCAAATTACCCATGAAAGCTGACAATGTTAGCACCACTACCGGATACCAAGCAACAGTTATATTTACAGTCACAAACAAGGCACTACTCTGTGAGGACCCATTCTGAAAATAGAGCTTATGAGAAAGGCGTTAGACAATTATCTTTTGATACAAACACTAATCACTGTGTAACAGGTTTTGGGACTCAGATGCGAATGGCGGGGGCGGCTGGCGTGGGAAGGCTCCGACACGGCCTCACACTGTCACAGAAGCCGTCCTGTTCGCTCCACTTGGATTCCAGATCACACAGGCACTCAACTGCCCAACTGGATTCTTCCGTGGAAAAGGGGGCAACTTTTTAGCAAAGCTGGTCCTACAAACTGTTTAGGAGGGTCGGACAAGAGTCTAACTACTGGTTAGTGGAGATTAGTTTAAGACTGCTCCAGGTGTGCCTTACATGCCAAGCAGGTTAGACCAAATTAAAGAGGATTTATTTTGCCCAGGGCAATTGGTAAAACAGACAGCAAGAAACAGCTGACTTTACAGCTAAAACACCCAGAAAGCAATCAATGCAGCGTGAAGTCTGCGTACATGGCAGGGCACATGTACAACACAGCAGTGCACTGAATGCCAACAGGACGGGCACGCGAGTCCTGAGATGGGAGATCAGGCCAGCAGGTGCTTCTCAGAAGGAGCCTCCACACGGCGGGGCAGGGCGGGGTGGGGGGACATAAATACACTGAGTTCCATGAAGGCAGAAATATCTGTGAGATAAAAGATGACACAGGTACAGATTTTCCTGACACACTGTGCCTCCTCTTACCTATGTTTTGGGATCAGTCTGTCTGCCTTCCCCTTCCCTAGAGGCAGCTGTCATTTATCTTTTCTAGGTGTCCCTAGGGCTGGTCCCTACTTAGGTAGGGGACAAAAAGTCCACTAAGCTGCAATGAAGTGACTCTTAAGGCTGTGAGTGTATGTGTGTGCTCCCAGCACCTGAAGAATTCAGGTAGAGGGAAACCTCTCTATAAATACAAGGAAACAGACTAACCGTATTCCAAACATGCAGTGAATATAGTTCCAAATAGCTCGCCTAAGCATTGAGGTATCGACGTCTTTGTGCATCGCCATTGTATTGTAGGTAAGATTGTAGGCAATGTGGAATTTCTCATCAATCAGCTGCCCCACATCTGGATACAGGCGATTTACCAAAGAATAGCCGTGGTCTTCCCAGCAATAGTCCTAAACCCGGGGAGAGGAAAGTGAGAGTCATTAAACACGGCGACTCCATTCCCCATCTGTGACGCAGGAGCCTGCGGGCGCCGGGTCACTCGCTCATCTCGGCCTCCGGCTTCGCCTGGGCTCCCCCCGGCGTCTTCAGGGTCCCCACTGCAGGGGAAAGGCGGGTTTTATGACCCTGGGCGCCTGCGCACAATGCAGGCATGCTGGCTCACACCCAGGCCACTGACTGTTAGCCTTCTCTGTCCTCCTCGGCCTCTGTGGGCTCCAGCGTGCAGTCCGCGTCCACATCCCGTCACCACGGCCACTTAAGTCCTGTGAATTCTAATTTAACACAGCTATCCTCATTTTTCCCTTCTCTCTCTGACTTTAGCCTTGGTAAATCAGTCTTCTGGTTAGTTCCCCTACGTCAGATCTTCCTGTCTCCTTCCCACAATTATTGTTCTAAAACTCTTCTCTGACATGGAGCCATCACTCTGCTCAGAACCTACAAACCTCATTTCACTATGCTGCAAACTGCTCTGACCTTTAAGCTGCACTGGACAGTTTTAAACCAACAACCTTGCTCGACTCCTTCAGCGGCTCACTCATTCTAGGCAAGGACTCTACACCTAAGCTGCACAGCCCACTGCCCTTGTTTTTTGACTCTAAAGTTTTCAAATTCTTCCTCTCCATAAAATTCCCAACCCACAATGACCTCTTCAATTTTGAGTTATAGTTCATGACACAGTTTAGCTAATAAAAACAGATTCTCTACCTCTGCTTGGTGCCTAAATTTTGACCCTTTGAACAGTGTCTTAATTTCTTGGGCAAAGACACAAAATCTTGCAGTTCTCAGCTATTTTCATAGTTCTGGGAAAACAGTTAAATAACACGGCCCCTTTAAAACAGCGGGGGAAACTGGGAGGGTCAGCGCAAATGTGTACCCATCTAAATGAAATGTCTCAGCGGTAAGTTTAAGACACACAGTTAAACTACAGTATATTCTGCGCATGAATTGAAGGCAGTCTTATAAAATTAGAGTATAAAAACAGATGTTTTCTAATTAACTGATGATTGTCAACTTCTGGAACTAGAGGCTGTAGCTTCTTGATACTATGTGTAAAAACCCCTTGCCTAGTTTTCTCAAATCTAGATGTCTCTTTCCCATGTCAGATTGATACACTTCTAAACAATCATGTTTATACAGTAAGTTGCAATTTTACCTGAACTCGAAAGGTTGGAACGTGCATCCCGTGTCTAGAGAAATCTTTATAGCCATAACTAGTATCCTCAAAGTGACGAGACACGTCTCTTGCTGGGGTACCCTCATCATCATCTGAAATAATGTAAAAAATATCAAGAGTTTTTCAAACTGGATACTACTTAACATTCATTTACCTTTAACAGGTACAAGACAGACAATCTGAAATGTAAGCAAAGCTGAATTCTCTGAGCTCTCCATTCCCTCCTCCATAGACCCTTTCCATCTCTGTCCACACTGCAATCTACAGATGTTAGCTTCCTCTTAGAAGGGTATGTTCAGGCTGGGGACTTGGCTCAGTGGCTCAGGCGCTTGCCTGGTAAGTGTGAGGTCGTGAGCCTGATCCCAGGAAAGTGTGTGTTCAAAGTAGTAACATCCTTTTAGATAATCCTTGAGGTGATAATAACAAGTATTACAATCATCTGTGCTTTAAAACTTAGCACACTTGACTATTTTTGTTAAATATTAATGTCACATAACGCATACTTTATTGGAAGACCCAGGTCCTGTGTGTTGGCATTTTTACAGGGCTTCTTGCATTGCTCCTAAGTCTTTTGTGGATTATCACGTTTAGATGAGATTATAGTTAATTAAACAAAATATTTTATGGTAATTCCACATCTTTGGGTATAGACAGAAATGAAAGCTATCTCTTGAAATAAAAGCTAATACTCAACCTTCTCAAACCTCTATTTGCGTACATTTGGTTTTTTTTTTGTTATCAAGAAACCTGATGCTCTCTTCTCCCACTCTATTATTACCAAAATATACTTGCAGACACTATATGAATGCTTTCAAATTACCTGCAATAGGCAAAGGCTAAACATAAACAAGTTTATGTTGTTGTTGGAAATTTAATAAACAGTTTTTTTTTTTTTTTTACAAATTACAGAAATTAAAGTAAAAAGTATTTTTGGAGCCTTATGAACTCAATTTCTTCATATCACAAAAAAAGAAACAGGGTGCTCATATGTTAAGTGACTTACTCGAGTAAGCTCACAAAGCTCTTCAGTGGTGATTTTAGTCCCAGAAGCCAAACCAAATGGGTCACCTTCTTAGTTTACTTGTACTTATCTATTTGTACTCAAAAACTTCTTAGTTGCCTGCATTAAAAATTGTAAGTAGAGATAATAGCTCCCATGCGATAGCCTCTCTAAGAGGACAGACATATGTGCACTGATGCTTTACGACTCAAGCTCGGTAAATAAAAAAGCTGGGTTTGTGACAGAAATCGCATTTACTATGGAGTGGTTGCTCCTACCTGAGGAGAAGACAAACATGCTCTCTCTTTTTTCCATTTCGAATCGCGAAGCCATCTCCTCCTGACTGGCCTCTTCCTCATCCCGACACTCCTGCAGCTGCCGCATCTTGGCCATGAGGGCTTCCACCTCAAAGAAGGAGTCACTGACCTGAGAGGGAGCGCAGGGTCACAGACAGTGGCAGACCGGACTTGTGTATTACCCGAGTACAGAAAACACAGATTTGCTTACACTCTTAATGTAGAGGAACAAACAATGGAGTCTACTAGGTATATAGATAGGAGAATTTTAAAATGAGAAAAATGATTTTAACATATGCTAATGTTTTTACCTGATAATATTGACATTATTATTTGTGCTATTTTAAAAATTAAGTACTTGTCAGTTTAAAATGGAACCGTATTTTAAAGTGAATTTTTTCTTGTTCAGTTAACATGACACACAAATTAGAAATGGTTTTTATATCACCTGTCCACTGCGTGTTGTCCAGTGTCTATCATCTTTAAAATAGTAACTGTTCTATTTATACAATTTACCAATGAAAAACAAACGTGTCCTCACATGGCTAGGCGGTTGACCACCTGCCCTTTGCGTGAGACCAGAACCTGTCACTTGCTAATGTGACTGCCCCAGTGTCGCATGTATAATGACAGGTCTTGACACACAATGGCAGAGCACACAAATGATTTATACTTCTATATGCTACTGCATCCTTACTATAAAAGATGGATCAAACATACAGAATACACGCTTTACACGTGGGTATGTAAGAAGCCTTAAAACCTCAAGGTTCAAATACACAATTTTTGTTTCTTCATTATACACTTTTTTAACCAGGAATTTTTTTGTAAGTTTTATTGTTTATGTTTGTTTGTTTGAGACAGGGTCTTGCTATGTATCGCAGGCTGGCCTCAAACTCACGGCAATCTTCCTGCCTCAGCCTCCCTGGTGATGGATCACAGGCGCGTGCCACCACGCCTGGCAGGAAACGTTCTTAAAACCTCCTCCTCCTACCTTTGCCTTTACCTATTGCTCCTTCAAGTCTCAGCTGACACTCCTCTCTCCCTCCAAAGCTCCGATTATCACCACACAGCACCCTGTTCTTTCCTTCAGAGTACCAATCACAGTGGATACAGCACTTGATATTTGCACACTAACCCGCAGCCTGCTTCCTAAGGGTAAAGACTTGTCTGCCTGATTTATTAGTTTACATCCACAGTCTAGTATAGTTTGTTACAGAGGGGCTGTCAGGATAATTCTCCATAACGAGAATTCAGATTACTTGTGCTTCATATTTTTATATGGTCCAGTTATGCCAAAACACCCTACACTAAACCCTTTCTTCAGGATTTCTATGATGGAAAGTGCTTCTACAATGGTATTAAGATTTTTGGACCGGGGGCTTAGCACAAGTGCCTGCCTGGCAAGTGCAAAGCCATGAGTTTAATCCCTGGTACAAAAACTCTTCTGGCACACGTAGATCTGAGGTAAGGTCGTGGTCAGAGAGGGCTGAAAAAAATTATACTGCTTAATAGAATTTATCAAGGTTAAAAAAATTGGTCAACTTAAGACTCTGGTCAACTCACATTATTCTCCTTGTCTATTTACCAATTTCCTCCTAAGACAGCCAAATTTTAGGTATCCTTAGAAAAGAAAATTCTTGATAAATTATATGGAAAACAAGAGGGAAAGGGGAAAAAGATGTTTCTTTTGTTTAACAAATCTGCTAAAGTTGTTAGTGATAAGGGAAAAATTACAGTGTTACATGTTCATGTTAAATGTTAACACCATGTGTGGAGATTTATTGTTTGCTTTGTGCACCCCGTCTCTGAAGAACTGAGTCACGTATCTGATCTAAACAGAGGACAGGCTTTATCGGCTGGCTGCAGTGCCACCCGCTCTTAGTCGAGCGTCACAGCAGGTGGGAGGTGCCAGTTCACACCAGCAGAAAGGCTAAGACCCGACACCGGGATGAGGGCGAGCAGGAATGCCCCTTCACTGGTAGGACACAGACTCGCAGAAAACTTTAAACACTAAATTTTGAGGCTTTGTGTCATGTAAAGAAATAAAGTCCCAGTTTTTTCATTCTTATTTATTATCTATTCCCCAGTACTGGGGACTGAACCAGGGGCCTGTGCATGCCAGGCCAGCGCTCTGCACTGAGCTCCTTTCCTAGCCGTGGTATCTCCTGAAGGGTAATAAGCAAAAGTAGAGTAGTAGTAAGTGATTTCTTTTTTACTGTATACCACATCAATGGTAGGGAAAGACAAAAATCCACCTCGCAGCACCCTCTGTGTCTCTCGATCCTCTGATACTCTCCAAGCTCTGACAGCCAGCCAGTGGCCCTGTGGAGGCCTACAGTATGAATCCAGGCAGCTCAGCGGAGGGAGAAACCGATAGGCTCAGGACTTGTCAGAACAGTGCCCGAGTCAACCGCAGGAAATGGTATTTCTTCATGAGCTAACTTAATCATATGAAAATGCCACCTCCTGATTTAGCACCTGATAAATACCAGGCACTATAGCAGGCTTTTTTTTTGTTTGTTTTTAAAGACAAAGTCTTGCAGTGTAGTCTAGACTGGCCTTGAAATCACTACGTAGGCCAGACAGGCACTCAATCCTGCCTCAGTCTCCCAGCATTTTACTTCCTTAGAGATACTGTGTTTAGCTGTTTCCATAACTTAAATCTTTTACCTTTATTTAGACATCAAAGAATTCAGAGACACTTGATAACTTGCCTAAAGTCAAATATATAAGTTAAAGTACATTAGGATAACTGTGGTGATTTTCCGTGAATTCCCTTTTCAAGCAAAAACAAACCCTTGCCTTTTCATTACAGTAAAAGAATGCAAAGCGAACTTTGACTTGTGGTAGATAAGAATTAAAATTTGCTTACAGAAAATTCAACTTGCTATGATCTGTTTCAAAGAATAACAGAGAAGGAACAGTGATGAAAGCATTTTAACAAGTTTACGTTCACTTGTATCATCTTCCACACTTGGGCAAAGTTAAACATGAATTTTAAAGGGAGAAATTTCTAGGTCAAAGCTGACTAAGTCTTCCAACAGATGGGCAAGGTAGAAGCCAGCCTGTTTCCCTTGTAGAAAAGGGAGGAAAGGATGTAACTGACGCCAGGAAGTCCCAACACCAGGACAGGCTGCTTCTCCTCGGCTCTGATCACTGCTGTAGCCATTTGTTAGTTGCTGGTCCTAATGGGACACACGCTGTTGGTTGTGGACACTAAAATCACTGGTGTAACCTTCCAGAGCAGTGTGGAGAACCCAGGGTGCAAATGCTACCCCAGCTGCTTGTCACCTGTGAGAGTTCTAAGAGGTTTGCACTATTCTAGAGGGACTTACAACTTTGCATCTCTCTTAGCACCTAGACTACTGATGGGCGTTTGGAGGTAATAAGCAAATCCATCCTTACTGAATGAAGAGAGGGACCTAATATCTCTGTGTATTCAACAAGGAAGATTTTGAAAGGAGCCAAATGGAAAAAATAACATTATCAGCAATTATCGTGATTAGTTTTATGACAGTCCCATGATAAATAATAGACACCTACCGAAACACTTCCGGGTGAGCTGACCTGCATCTCATCCACACTGTGATTGCCGTTTGTAATGTCACAGATGCAGTAGTTGCTAACAGAAGGAGGTCTGAACGTGTGGCCACCATCACAGTGAATTTCTGGACTGATTCCACAGCCAAATGTGAACGAGGCAAGAGAATGGTAGTGTGTGAGCAGAACTACGGCATGCACCAGCTCTGCCAGGGACCAGCTGTGCTCTTCAGCTTTTAAAAGCCGCTGTGGGTGGGGAGACAGAACAGATTTTTACACAGGGGTGTGGTGTGGGTGAAACTACATAGCTCATGCTAGCATTTAATTCACTGACAACAGGATCAGTCACTATATAAAGCCTAGTCCAAAGCTACAAACTGCAGCATGCAGAACCCACAATTTGCTCATTTTATGAACATGTATGCACAAATACAGCTTAACATTTATTGACGATGCATCCATTATTATTTTGACTTTTTGAAATACTGATTTAAAAATAGAGTACATTTTTTTGCTTAAAAGCAGTTGCTCTATTTCAGATGCTGGATTATGAATGAATTACTGTGTTCTTAGTTCAAATGTAATAAATCTGTGTTTAAATTGAAGCTACTATGTGAAATGTCTGTGTACTGTTTATTACCAGGCCTCCTGACTCTGAATATTCCTAAATCAACTCACATTTATTTAAAAATTACACACAAATTGTGCAACTCTTCAAATTCAATTCTGTGTCCCTTCTCCTTTAGTATCTATTTTATAATATTGTGTAAGTTTTTCCTGACAATGTGAGGCACTGTATTAATCATACTGAAATCTCATATCTTCTTTTATGAATCTCAACATCATCTTTTACATAGCAGCATCTAAAATGTGGTATGAAATAGGCAAGACCAAAAGCAAAGAGGAACACTTGTTCATTGCTAGTGGGAATGCAAACTGGCATGGCTCTCTGGAAGACCGAGTTTCACAGTTTCTGATGAAGCTAAATGTAGGCTCACTGAACGATCCAGCATCACACTCCTATTTACCCAGTAAGCTGAAAATTTTTGTCTAAAAAAAAAAACAACCAAAAAAATTCTGCACATAAATGTTTCTATTGATAATTAATGACTGGCAAGTAATCAAGTAATCAAGCTGTCCCTTTAACGGATGAATGGATAACCTAACTGTGGCAGATCCACACAACGGAATATAATTCAGCAATAAAAAGAAATGTACTGTCATAAAAGGACATGGAAGAATCTTAAACTGCTAAATGAAAGTCCATCTGAAGAGGCCATATACTATAATGATATCAACTATAGGACATTTTGAAAACGGCAAAACTTCCAGAGATAATAAAAAGACCAGTGTTTCCAAGAGCTCAGGAGAAAGGGAAGAAGGGCGAATAGATGAAGCACAATGGGGTGACAATATTTGTTATTCTGTATTATACAGTGATGGTATTATGACATCAGGCACTTTTCAAAAGCCATGGAACTATCTGAGAGCAAACTCTAGGGCGACACTAGTTAACAGAAACATGACAACACCAACTCATCATTCAGAACAAACGTACTGCACAAACCCTAGGTGTTAACAGCAGGAGACTAATGTGTGTTTGTATGAAGGGTTATGTGGTCGAAAATGGGAACTCTGTACTCTTGGTGCAATTTTTCTGTAACTAAAAAGTTGCTCTAGAAAATAAATTTTAAAAAATTTTAAGTGAGGGAAATACATGGCTTCATCATGTACCTCAATGTGTTCTTTGGTAATAAGCCAAGGTCTGTGGGCCAGCACTTTGTTGAGTTCTCCTAAGTTCTGTAGTTTCTGAGGTGCATTCTCTAAGCCATTGAGCCACTTGGGATCCCCCCCAACATGAAGGAAATCGTTCACATGCAGGTTCACTAAGTAGGAACACTGGTGTCTTGCTGCAGCCTTCAGAGAAAACAAAGATAGTCTAATTAGCATTTAAACTGTTATAAATCTATTTTCTTTACAACATGAAAAAGTTTATGATCAGTATTTTTCAAATTTTCTATGAACTGTACAAATGAAGCTTTCCTATAAAAATCTATACCACATAAAACACCTCAGAAATATTCCAAAAACAAAATAAATGATAAAAAAAATCAGAATTTAAATCTTACATACTAACTTTACAACCTCAAGAAGTTCAAGTTGTCAACCACAGAATCACAGACTACTAGTTATAAATCGAACAGGATGAGCTACTTTTAATAAGAAAGAATGGTTGTTAGCATTGTATATAGACATGGTATACCTTTTGTTATATTTGAGAGTATACGTTTATTAAAAGAGAAAAAATAGAGACTACCCTATAGGATATAGTATTACACAGCAGAATACACTTATTTATCCCCAGGTTTAAAGCATAGAGTTGCTCTCTCTTACATGGATTAATAAAAGGAAGTAAAAATATTTTTCATTTAATGTCTATACACACCATTATTCCAATGTAGTGCCGGTAATGTAGGGGTAAAGGACCATCCATCTGCAGTAGGTAGTGTTGGGTTTTTAAGAAACTTTCTAAATATTGTGGGTGGAAAACCATCACTAATGTAATGTTATCCAATCGACCCAAAGCAGCAAAAGAATCTGCAAATAAAGCATGCATCTGTGCATCTTCACTGCCCACTTGGAGAATCTGTATAAATAAGAAGAGAACTATGGTTACATAAGTTAGAAGTTGGCATTAAAGAAAATATGCACAGGCTGCACGGTGTTGTCTAGAAGCAGACAGAATTTGGCTTAAGAGAGAAGTTATGAATTTAAACTCAACTGGTAGCAAACAGAAGAATAAATGGTAACATTATACAGTAGGAGATAAACAACAAAGACTGAATGTTAAAGGCTATCCAGATCGGCTGCTTGTAGACTTGGCCAGAATCCAGGCAAAGAAGCAGATTTAGAGTATCAAAGTTGCAGTGCTTGCAAACAAACTAAAGCCTTCCCTTATCCGACCGACTATTTTCACTCAATTTAGGCAAACCAAAGTTAATTAACAGCAAATAGTCCATATAAAAAGAAAGCATAGATGCCTTTACACATAGAGACTCAATTCAGTACTCATACTCGCCTGAGGAGATGGTCAGGACCAAGCAACTGAGTTTACAGGCATACCTAAGCAACATCTAAATATAAGCAAGCGGAGTGTTATTAGTCAAAAACAAGTCTTGGATTTACTTGATTAAATAAGGGTGTTTTACAAGACTGTCATGAAATACTAGAAATCAACATGACTATAACAGCTTTCTAATACCCTGGACTCATTGCCAACGCATGATTAACTGCAATCAACTCTGCCTAAAACACACTGTTGACCAATACTTGTTCAGATGCCAAGACACAGGTCATAAAAACTTTTCCTTAAAAGCATACGGTTCACTACGCACTTCCACAAACCACATACCTCCTTTTCTGGGATGAATCTGCTTGGTCCATGTCCTAGTGGTCGAGGAATTCTAATTCCAAGTTCCTAGAAAAGAGAATTACACCATCAGGCCGCCAGCAGTAAACAACACGCACTGAGGATGCAGGCAAAACCACGAGTCCAGCAGAGACAAGCTTGCTGCGTTTGGTTTTCATGGTGTGCGCTCTCTCTCTCCCTCTCTCTCTCTCTCTCTCTCTCTCTCTCTCTCTCTATATATATATATATATATATATATATATATATCGCACACACACACACACACACACACACACACACACCAACTCTTCTGTTTGCATCACACAGCTAATGACAGCTTATAATACAACTCTGACTAAAAACAATAAAACCTGTTTCACTAAAACCAGAGTTTTGCATAAAGTACTTGGCAGAAAGTCTAGAACAGAAAGTTCAGCACACAGCAGCCAACTCTGTGGGCAGTCAGTGATACAAAATAAGACCAAGTGTTTGTACATCCAAAACAACCACAGTATCAGGCCCTGTGCGTCTTGTCAGGCGATACCTCGGTGTAGAAGTCTTAGGAAGAAGTGTAATCATCATCATGTCCGTAATAACAGCTCACAGTAAGCACAGAACTATGAAAAACTAGTTAAGCACACAAAAGAGAAAATACTACAGGGCATGTTTTCTCTGTGACTTGAGTAAAATAAACTGAGAAAAACATTTTGTTACTGTGTTTGGTTTAAATTTTCTTTAACAATAAGATGTCATCAACTGTGATTATATTCTAGAACAGTGCAATAATTCATAAAGAAATGGTTTTCTGACAGTGAATCTAGCTTAAATAACATAAGTGATGGGCAGAGGGGGCTATGTCTCAGCCTAGCCTCATTTAAAAATGTTCAGACTTTATGCAATAAAGGTTAACCCTTGGTTACAGAACTACATGGAAATATGATTTCTAGTCTTTCCACAATTTCTTATAATACATAGTGCACACGCTGGCGCACTCTCTCTCTTTGTACCAGGGATCAAACTCACAACCTCGCGCTGGACAGGCAGGCACTTATGCTGCTGAGCTAAATCCCCAGCCCGTCTAGATGCTCTCTTTTTAAAAGAAAAATAGGAGGAGGCACGTAGGGCAGTAACCCAAGAAAGGTGGTCCAAACAAAATGCAGATCTTTTAAGAAAAATGAATTTTAAAAATTTAGCAGCCAAGACAAAATTTAAAATAATGTTTATGAAGAGAAACCAAGATTTAAAGTAGGCTGCATTTGCCCGCTAGATCCGTACAGTTACATGTAAACCAGATCTTTCACACTGGACGTCGTTTCTTACCCCTGTTATTCCACCTCAGACTCAAGACAGTCTATAAATTCATTAGATGAGTCACAATTCACTAGTGTGGACACATGTATATCTCAGTTTTAATTTCCTACAATAAATGCCGGAAGAAAACACTTTCTTGTTATTCAGTATCTTACGTAAAGTAACTACTACTCTTTCTAGCTGAATCTGTACTACAAATATATACATTTTAAACAAAATGTGCTGGGGGGTCAAACTATAGGATTAAAATCAGTATTTAGCCTTCCTCATTTCTTTAATATTTTAAAGTTATTTAAGCAAAAATATACTTTTAGAGTAAACCTCTTTTAAGGTTTTATAACTCATTTATAACTTAAAAGCTACTATATTTGGGACATCAGTATATAAAAAATAAAATGGGGATATGCACTATTCAGCAAATAAACTTCAGGCAACCGGGAAGCCACTAAAAAAAGGTGAAGTTTGGAAACCTAAATCATACTTCACTCCACCACAAATCAGAATTAAATGTAAAAAAATTAAACACTCAAGGAGTCAGGGAGTAGGCCTAAGAATGCCACAAAACCCAGAAGTCATAAAACACAAGACAGATAAATTTGACGACCGAAGTACTTTCTCATGGGGGAAACAAACATGAATATAAAACTGGGAAGATATATGCAACTTATATAACAAAGGGCTGATTTTTAAAAATATAGATTCCTAGAAAATTCCCACCTCATAGAAGTGCGCAAAAGATACAGTTCAAAGAAAAAAGAACTACACATGGCTGAAGAGGGCTCGATACAGTAAAACATAGTGATTACACACAGGTACCAGTTTTCTCCCAAAACACTGCTTATGATCAAAAAGTCTGTGTCAGAAAGAAGGTGGAGAAACAGTCTTGTAGCTTATACACTGGGGACAGGAGTGTTCTGAAGTGTGAGGGGGGAATGAGGAATACAAAGACTTTATATATTGTAACTTCTAGAGAGGGCAACTTGCAACACTGATCAGAATAAAAATGTCACACACCCTTTGAAACAAAATTCTATCCTCAGTGTTAACTTATAGATATGTTTCTGAAATGCCATTATGTAAAAGGATCCTCACTGCAACATTGTTTCTAGCAGTACAAGACTGAAAACCACCTCAGAGCTCATCAACAAGGTCTGTTGCAGCAATGTTCAGTCTGACCAATACAAACCCTCAGCACTGCTGGCACTAGAGAAATGCAAATTAAAATGACACTGAGATTCTATCTCAGCCCAGAAACAATAGCTATTGTCAAGAAATCAAATAGTACCAAATGCTGGAGAGGCTGTGGGGGAAAAGGAACCTCACTAAACTGTTGGTGAGAATGTAAACTAGCAAACCACTCTGCAGGTAAGTATACAGAAATAAGTATAGAGAGTCTCAAAAACACTAAAACTAGAAATTCCATCTGATCCAGCTATTTCCCTTCTAGCTATTTTCCTGAAAATCTTAAAAGACATTGTATTGCAGTAATACATGTATATCCATGTTTATAGCAGCACAATTCATAATACATAGATTTTGAAAGCAGCCCATACATTCATCAACGGATAGAGAAAATGTATTTATACATCATGAAGTACTACTTTGCTATAAATAAGGGTAGACTTGAACCATTTGGAGGAAAATGAATACATCTGGAGACCATAACAGTAAGAGAATAAACTATAGTAAAAGTGTCAAGTGAATAAACTACAATAAAAAGAAAAAATATGCAGTCCATACAAAGAAAACAGTTCTATGTAAGCTTATTCAAAAATATTTATAAAATATATAGCTTTGGAGGAGAAAACAAAGGGCATAATGTGCACATATTTTTTAATTTAATATTTGTCGAGAAGGAAAAAATTCTCAGTAATTCCACTTTAGGACTTTATCCTACAAATATATTAGCAACATATGGATGGTACTTTTTAAATGAGACTAAATTGATGTCATAAGGACTTCTAAACGAAAAAGTTGAGTGACATCATTCTGGTCTTGTTTCTGTATCAAGTACTGTATGTACTTTACATATCTGTGATGGCTTAGGTCTGAAACATCTCCCCAAAAGTCTTACTGCTTCAGAGGTGGGACTTGAAGAAGGTGACTGGATCATGGGAATGCCATATTCATCACCAGGTTCATCCCTGATGAGATCACAGCCGCCCATGCTGCTGAGAGCGAGAGGGGCCTGGGTGGAAGCAGGGCTCCTGAGGCAGCCTTTGAAGGGTCAGGCTCTCCTCTCCGCTCCCTTCCTTCCTTCCTCCGCCCCTCCTCTCCCTCTCCCTTCCCCTCGATCCTCCCCTGCTTCTTCCTGTCCTGTTTCCTGCTGCAGTGGTCTAACAGTTCCCCCCTCCAGGCCCTTCTGCCTCCGGACTGTGACCTTGGAGCCAGGTAACCCTGGACAAAGCTCCCTCCTCCTCTAAACTTCAGTGTTAGTATTTTGTCCCGGTGGTGGGAAAGCTGACTAATACAACACCGAACTATTTCAAAACACAAGTTTTTCCAGTTTTGAGAAAGTGCTTATGAATGGTCCAGAAATGGAGTATTTTCTTACTGTTGGAACACAAGTCTTTACCAGGGTCCTAAGCAATTCTAGAGTCTCTATAAGTCCATCTCTTCAGTCAATGAAGTGGGTTACTGATATCAGTATCTCCCCTTTCCTTGAACCTTCAATAGCCAAACTTTTTTCTAATTCCATTTGAAATATATATTTTTGAAATATATTTTTAAATGTGAAAGTACTATGTGTTTTAAAATAAGGTGTTAAGTTGCTGGGGCACAGACACTGGCAGAGCACTGGTCTAGCAAGTGCCAGGACCTGGGTTCAAGGCCCAGAACCACACAGGGTGTTAAGAAAAGGTAAACATTCTTTTTTTTTTTTTTTCAAAAAAAAAAAAAAACAAAAAACAAATAGACAACCATTAGAAATTCCTCACTTTAATGTACTCACAAAATTATTCTATATTTATAGCTTTCAGGAATGGTTTTCCTTGTGCAAAATTTCATAGATGTGCAAAATTTCATAAAATAAATGATCTTAAATATAGCAGCACTCGGGGCTGGGGATTTAGCTCAGCGGCATAAGCGCCTGCCTTGTAAAGCAGGCAGTCGTGAGTTCGATCCCCGGTACCGATAAAAAGGAAAAAGCCAAAAACAAAAAACAAAACAAAACAAAACCCTAAATTTCTCCTTTTTCCTTACCCATTCCTCCTGCGTTATTACAAGCAAGAAAAGGTAAACACTCTTCAGGATGAATTAGAGACCCCTTACACAATTCCTCTTAGTGTTGAGATTATATTCATTCCTCGGTAAGGGACAAGCCTACCAATAGAGCTGAGGACAGAACAAGAGGCTTAAAGAGAAAACTGTAAAGGAGATCCTGATATTCAAGACTTCAATTTTGTTAGTGTCCAAGTCTAGTTCTAGGTAAAATGGAATTTAACTAAGTTCACACTTGGGATTACCAGAGTTGATCTGTGGTTAAATTCACAAAGTTGTGATATGCTAATGCTATTTCATAAAAACAGTAAAAGAAATAATAGAAAAAAGATAAGTGAAAGAAAAGAATTTTTTCTCAAACATAAAAAGTTGATCCACATTGACTATAATGAGAAATATAGTTATTGCTAGTACAGAATAAAATAAATGTACTCTTATGTTTGGCGCTAGACACAAAAGATGATGGCCCCCCCCCACACACCCCTTTAAGCTAACAGCCTGGGCACATGACAAGGATATAAGGACATGGCAAGACCTTT